GAAAAAACTTATATATAAATACATTTCAATTATAATTTATTATAAGTATTTTCTTTGTTGTTATTCTTAGAGAGAGAGAGAGAGAGAGTGAACACTGTTTGCTTAAGCCATACATTATTAGCAACAATAAAAACGGGGGGATATTTTGTCATCCCTTACCTACCCCTCCCCCACCTATAAAGCTAATGGTTTGCTAATAAGCCTAGTTGACAATGGGTTTACCCCCCCCCCATCCCCTATCTCACTACATACTGGCTCATACCTACTAATATACACCCGGTTTTCAATCGTATATATAAATTAGCCGTATTTTTATAGTAATTCACTTATTATTGTACTAACCATTTGCTGAATTGAAATACATGTACAGTATATATGCGTCAAATAAAAGTATTGTTAACTAATATTAATGTTATATTATTATCAAAAAAAAAATTAAAAAATTCAAAATATTAATTAAATTATTAATAATAATATTAATAAACTGATACTGAAGTTGAATATATTAAGTAAATTAAAATCATTACAAAATAGTATTATTATTATTATTGATAAACATTGTTGAGAATATTTTTCTAATAATAATAATAATAATTATGAATTCAATAAATAATAAAATTAAATATATGTTAAAAAAGTTGTCTGAATTGAAATCATTACACAATAGTATTATCGATAAACAAACAAAAAGTTTATCAGAAATTAGTGATGTTTTATGTAAAACAATTGATGAGTTAAATGAAGTGAATATCAAAACAACAAATGATTGCAAATCAGTGAAAATTACTGATTATAGTGACTGTAATGACAACAACAACACTAACATTAAAAGTGTGGATAAAAACAAAAAATTTAAGTGTCTTTGGCCTAAATGTCAGTTTAAAACCATTCATAAATCAAATCTAATTCAACACCAATTCATACATTCATCGGATAATCAATTCAAATGTACTGATTGTACGGAAACATTCAAAACTCAGTCGGCATTATATTATCATAAAAGTTCAAAACATATGCATATTGTTTGCAATGTTAACAATTGTGGTAAAAGTTTTTCAACAAAATTTCATTTAACTAAACATAAATCTATTGTACATTTGAATGAAAAGTTTAAATGCGTTTATAAAAATTGTCGAAAAAAATTTACAACAAAATCCAATATGAATAGACATGTACTGCAAATACATAGAAAACAATCGCTGTTTAAATGTGATGCCCAGGACTGTAACAAACAATTTTCAGATAAATTTAATTTATTACGACATCAACGAACCAAACATTCATCAACTGTTGTTAAACAACTCTATAAATGTGATGTCGAGTATTGCGATAAAACATTTGCAACAAATGATAATTTAAAAAATCATAAATTAATTCATTTGAAGAAAAAACGATTCAAATGTTCAGTAAAAAAATGTTTGAAACGATTTACAACTAATCATTGTTTACGACAACATCTATCAATAGATCATTCAATTGAACCCGAATTCAAATGTGATTACGTTGATTGTAATAAAATATTTGATAAACTAAAATATCTGAATCAACACAAACATAAAGTGCACCAAAAAAAAACATTAATAAAAACTAATGTTAAATATAGTTAAAAAAAATTAATGTTTTGTAAAAATCAATAGTTTTTTCACTAAATTTATCATTAAATATCATTATATTTTTTTATTATTTAATATTTTTTTTTAAATAATTCATTTTAAAATATAATTTTATTTTTTAACTAAAAATCTTATTCATTGTTATATATTAATAAAAAAAAGTGAAAAAAGCGAAAAAAATTGATTTAAATTTTAATATTATTTTTTTTGAAATAATAATAATTATTTAATTTATTATTATATGACTGAATGTCCATAACATGTCTGTATGTACTAACACATACCTTATCACAGTGTAAATCAATTACTCACTCACTCACTCACTCACTCATTCATTCATTCATTCATTCACTCACTCACTCACTCACTCACTCACTCACTCACTCACTCACTCACTCACTCATTCATTCACTCACTCACTCACTCACTCACTCACTCTTCAGCTTTAAACCTATTAATACAAGTATTTCACTTAAAATACAGAATAAACTGAAGAAACCATTAAATTTCCTTTTGTTAGTCCACTCTCTCTCTCTCTCTCTCTCTCTCTCACACACACACACACACACACATACATACACTGTTTGATCCAATCGGTGACATTCAATATCATTCAATGTGTAGCACTTGAACTCATCATAAAAAACATAGTTAACAATCCATTGATGCCATGAATCCTATTATTAGTATATCGTAAAGTAATTGTATTCAAAAATCAACAACAAATAGATTTACATACAATAGATCTTTCAATTAAATTTTATTACAAGTATTTTTCATTGTTATTGTTAGTATTGTTAGAGAGAGAGAGAGAGAGAGAGAGAGAGAGAGAGAGAGAGAGAGAGAGAGAGAGAGAGAGAGAGAGAGAGAGAGAGAGAGAGAGTGCACCACTGTTTGCTTACAAAAAAAAGGTGACAATAGATGACAATCCCTTATACCTAAAACAGCATCTGTTTGTATCAACCAATTACTATCGGCACTCACCTACTATTATATATATATATATATATATTGTATATATAAATATATACTCAAATACATAAAACAAATATTAACACAACTAGTGTCGCAACAACAAAAAAACAGTAGTTTTTATTTTCATATGTTTTTATTTAAGGTATAAAAACAATCGTATAGTACTGTACAACTGTAATGGCCCTGCAATGTATAATATACAACTCAATTGACAATTTCATTGGGCAAACACATTAGGATAACTGGCCTTACCGTCAATTGTATTATACAGTAAACTATATCTCTCTCTCACACACACATACACACACACATACATACACATACATACACATACACATACATACACATACACATACACATACACATACACATACACATACACATACACATACACATACACATACACATACACATACACATACACATACACATACACATACACATACACATACACATACACATACACATACACATACACATACACATACACATACACATACACATACAGTACATCAGTCTCTCTCTCTCTCTCTCTCTCTCTCTCTCTCTCTATTTGGCTCATACCTACAATTTATTAGGCTATTTATTAGGGTATAAACTGAAAATAAAAACCAGTTTTTATAATACTATTTAAGTATTTATAACAGTTATAAATTTATAACTCATTATTGCTATTGAAAAACACAATATAATCGCCAAAACTAATTGATTTGTTTGTTTGACTCTTGTATTTGAAGTAATTATTTCTATAAAATCATTGTCTGGTGTTTTGATAAATAAAAAAAAATAATTAAGTATTTTAATATGTAGTTAAATTAATTATAAATTATTAATAAACTAAAACAATTTAAATTGAATTTATTATTGTTTAAAAATTGTAATCAATTGTAATATTACAGTAATATTGAAAATAACTCAACAACAAAAAAAGTTTGTCTGAAAATAGTATAGTTTTGTGTAAAGCTATTGAATGCTTGAATTCAATGACTATTACAACAAATTTCAATGCATTTCAATGAAAAATCACTGATTATAGTGACTGTTATGACAACAACAACACACGTGTGGATAACAATAACACGCGATAACACGTGCTTTTGGGGCCAAAATGTCGGCCACAAAAAAAATATTAAATTAATTATTAATAAAATTACTTACCATTTAATCAAAACAATTGACGGCCAATTAACTTATTGGTAAAGTTATTTGTTATGTCGACACTGTTATTATCACAATCACTATAATCACACACTATAATATTACTACCACTACTATAGTATACTATAGTCTAATAATTAACTGATTGTTTGGTTGAATGCAATGTTTGTTATAATAATTGCAATATTTTTTTTTGTTGGTCACACAAAGTTTGCAACACTTTTATCACTTATTTTTGTTAATTAAATTAATTAATTTTTTAAATAACTAATCAATTGATTTCATACTAATATATCACTTGTTTTATCAAAAAATGTCATAATTTATTTTTTGTCACATAAATGTTTGAATTATTATTATTATTATTAAATGATAAGTAAATTCATGTTTACTATTGTTATCATTATTATTATAATATTATTATCAAAAATATTTAAATAACTATTTTTAAAAAAAATAATTTATTTGTATTTAATTGAATGTATTTCACGTGTTGTTATTTTTAATGTAAACTACATTTAAAATTTAAATATACTTTAAAATTATTATCATATGTTAAATGACAAACATATTGATGACATCATTATTTATTCAGTAGTATTTCAAATGTAATTTATTTTTTTCATACATACAATACGTTTTATATTTAGTGTATATATTATTAATATTTTTAATTTATTAGATATCATAATATACCTAAAGTTTTTAATATTAACTATCTCTCTCTCTCTCTCTCTCTCTCTCTCTCTCTCTCTCTCTCTCTCTCTCTCTCTCTCTCTCTCTCTCTCTCTCTCTCTCTCTCTCTCTCTCTCTGTCTGTCTCTTTGTCTCTTTGTCTGTCTCTTTGTCTGTCTGTCTCTTTGTCTGTCTGTCTCTTTGTCTCTCTGTCTCTCTCTGTCTCTCTCTGTCTCTCTCTCTGTCTCTCTCTCTGTCTCTCTCTGTCTCTCTCTCTCTGTCTCTCTCTCTGTCTCTCTCTCTGTCTCTCTCTCTCTCTCTCTCTCTCTCTCTCTCTCTCTCTCTCTCTCTTTCTTTCTTTCTCTCTCTCTCTCTCTCTCTCTCTCTCTCTAATAAAACAGCTGTACATATAAAGTGCAACTCAAACAATGACCACTTGATTAGCCGCCGATACTCTGGAGAGGCGATAACTGGGCGAACATTAATCAAAAAATTATTGATTGAATATTATTTTTTAAACAACTAATAAAAATTGTTAGAAAATAAAACAATTATATAATTAGTTTTTTTTAAATGCTCTTTTATTATATATATATAAAGTTAGGGTTAGATTAGATTTATAAAGTAATACATAATTAATAGGCTAATCAAACAACAACATAACCTATAATTAATTAATTAATTACTGTATTATTATATTAACTAATAACTAATAATTAATATTTTTTCTTAAATAACTGCTTAATCTGACCAAACGATTGATCCCAACGTTTATTGAATGCAATCAGATATCGATATTTTTCGGGTAACTGATCCCTACCACCACCACTACCCGACAATCGCTTAACCTGTTCACCAATGGCTGCATTGTAGGCCTGTCCTATTGACCGGTAAAACCCGTACAATACACGCTGAAAATTAGGTTCAATATCCCGGGTCATCAGTTTACCCAATTCACCCGACAATTCAATCAATGGTTTACTCAATAGATTATATCTATATATACTATGTTGTCGTCGGTGTCGGCGATCCATATCTTTTGATGCAAACAACTGTACCAAATATAGGCTCAGTTCGTCAAACAGTTGGGCACCGGTAGCTATACGTCCTGAAAAATTCCGATCAATACCATTGTTGTCGGCATTTTGGTCGATGTTTTTCCGAAACAATTTCAATCCACGGCTCAGATCGACTAACAATTGGTCCAAATCGTAACGCATAACAAAATCCAGGTCATCCTCGGCAACAGTGGCCATACCGTTGAAAAATTCATCTAAATTTGTATCCAAATCGGATAGCTGTCGACGATACTGGTCGGCCCATGTGGACATACCGTTATTCATGAGTAGGCCAACCAAATCAAACTTTACGGGTAGTCTATATACTACCGGTGCCGGCGGTGCCGGTTGTCTACCATTTTTATGATTATGATGTTTACGATTCTTATGATGTTTCTTATGGTGGGAACCGGAGTCGGATGAATCAGATTCCGATGAACCTGTAGTTTGTATTTTAATAATAATATTAATTAATTAATTAATTAATTAATTTATAATAATAAGTAATAATTAATAATAAAATTAGTTTTGAAATTTTTTTTATTAGTAATCAAAAAATAATACTTACAATAGATTAGCCCAACGCCTACTACTACTGTTAATACTAGAAAATTGTATAACAAATTCATTGTTTTAATAATAATAACTATATTATATAAAAAAATTATTATTAATAATAATATTTATTACAAAAAAAATTATTTTTTTACTGATATTTTTATTTAACATTTCAATTGAGCTATTTATACCAATTTTTAGTTGGGCTATTATTTTTAATTAATTTAATAATTATGACATTATTTTTTTTAAATAACATGTGTTTTTTGTTTGTTTGTGTAGTGATTATCAAATTTTTAATACAAAAATAATATTCAATCAATTTATACAGTATTTAAAAATAAAGTTTTTTTTTTTGATTAATAACTTTGATACCTAAAAATAATATTTTAAAATATATAAAAACATATTAATTAATTTTAATATAATAAAAAAATTCTACTAAAAAAACTGTTAAAAAATATTGTATTTTATATGTATTTCTATTTAATTTATTATTTTTGTAAAAAATATGATTTTATTTTATTTTTTTTGTTACAATAAAACTACTGTATGGATACAGTAGTATTGGTATAATAATATAATATAGATTTTTTTTGTAGTTGAAAAACAATTCAATCAATTTTATATTTTTTTTTGTCAAATTAATAGAAAAAATATTATTGTATTTGTAGACTAATGTTATATATGATAATAATTATAATACTTTTAAAATTTTCCTAAAATAACATATTTTCTTCAAATAGATTTATGTATAAAATATTTATTTTATTTTTTTTTTGTATTATTAGTTGTTAGGCAATAATTTAGCCAATAAAACAATAGATAATTTATTTTAGTTTTTAATTTTTAAATAAGTTTTTTGTATAAAAATATTTCATATAAGTATAAACAATAGATTTTTTTGTTTTAAAAATTTTAAATATTTTAAGGATGTTTATATCATATTATAAATATTGTATGTATTAATGTGAAAATTTTTTCAAATAAATATTGTTTTTAAATATATCAATGTTTGAAAATTTTTACAACAAATCAATTCAAACACAATTTCAATGCCATTATAATAATTGAAACAAATTTTTTCGACTTAAAACACATTTAGTTAATCACAAAAAAAATTATCATTTTTAAGTGAAAAAAAAACATTCAAATGTGATGTCAATGATTGTAATAAATGTTTTAATCAAAAAAAAGTAACACTAAATTATCATAAATAAAATTTATTTTTATTTTTTAAAATAAAAATAATTGCAAAAAATTTTCTTAAAAATTATACATAATATTACTTTATAATTAAATTATTTATAATAATATTAAAGTGTATTTTTTGAAAATTTTATTCATACTTAATTAAATTACTAATTGATTAAATTTTTTAGTAAATAATACAAATAAAATCAAATATTAATTGTAATTAATTATAAAATAATATAGGTTTACAAAATTAACTAAAATTAATTTTAAAAAAAATATAATAAAATAGATATAAATATAGAATTAATATTAAAGAAAATAATATATGAAATAAAATATGTTATGAAAAAATCAACAAAAAAAAAATTTTTTGTTGAAAAAATAGATATAAATTTTTTWAAAAAAATTTTAAGTAAATATCGGTATCTCATTGGTTAGTCCGCACTGTTTGCTCCAATCGGTAACAAACAGGTCTTTCATTGTATCCCTAAACTCATCTAAACTGCAACTATTGTCGCCATCTTTATCGCAAACCGTACCGAAACCGGTAAACTTGTAGCCATAGTTAATCGGGTCATTACGTCCATAGTATAGCCGGACATAGTATTGGCCGGCAATCAGATGCAGTTCAATCACTACGGCATCGCCGAAGCTCGGGTAACGGGCCGTACCGTATAGTAAGCGCATCAGCGTATAGACGGCAATATCGTGGGCGGTATAGACATACAGTTTCGGTTGCGGTGTGTTTTGATTAGTCGGACTACCGCTGGTAGTCGTATGGGTGGTAGCCTGTGATTAGTGTTGGCGCAAAAAAAGAGGAGAAATTTATAAAAAAAATAATAGAGAAATTTCTAGAAAGTTTCTAAAAAAAAAAAAAAAATTTCTATCTATGGTTATCTATCCAATGGTTAATTTTTATTATCTCGATATTTCCTATCATATAACAATACATTATTAATTATTATTATTATTTTAATTATTAATTAAACAACAAAAAATTAATTAATTAATTAATTAAACTATGATTTATATAATAAAATGAATCATTTTTTTTTTAAAAATAAACTGATTATTATTAAATAATTATAATTATTTTATATACTGTATATAGGTATCAAATTTTGTATAGTATATGATATTATACTGTATGTATAGTATTATATGTTATTAAAAAAAAATACTAGTATTACAATAACTATAGATATGGGGGGAATCCCCCAATTAGACATAACCATAAAATTTTTGAAATTTCTATAGAAATATATTTGAAAACTTTCTATTTGTGCCCCATCCCCCCCCTCCCCTCCCCCCCCTCCCCCCCCCAATCTCTACCTGGGATGCATTGAACATATTGTTGATCAACGTTTCCAATAGGATACCTGACCTCAACTGTTGTATTTGTTTGTTACCGTAGACAACGTCATAGTATTTTTCATTCAATTCGGTCAAACCCGTCATAACCCGATCGACGCCTACCGATGCCATCCAACCCGGATAGGGTTTAGGCGGCTGATAGTCAAACTCGGTGGTCAGTGTATCGTACAGCCACATAGTACAGGTCAGATCCGTACAGTTATGTCCGGGTAGTGCCTGATTAAGGGCCTGGGGGTGGTGGGTATGTATGTGTTTGGTGCATACACATACACACAAAAAAAATATAATTTAAATATTTCAAAAAAATTATTAGAAATTAATTTTTATAGTATATTAATAAAAGTTTTATATAACTCTATATATAGATATATAATTTACATAATAAAACTAATATTAAGTAATTCAAAACTAAAATTTAATAAAAAAAAATAATAATTATTCAAATATTAATTATACCAACAAAAAAATACTAATTGTATTTGAAAATTATATTTTTGATTTAATTATGATTATTATTATTAAAAAAAATTTGTTTTTTAAATGTTAAGTTATCTAGTTTAAATATTTAAAAAATAAATTATTAGAAATAAATTTTTATAGTATATTAATAAAAGTTTTATATAACTCTATATATATATATAATTTAAAGTTATATAAAAATAATATTAAGTAATTTAAAACTAAAATAATAATAATAAAATAATAATAATAATTATCCAAATATTAATTATACCAACAACAACAAAAAAATACTAATTGTATTTGAAAATTATATTTTTGATTTAATTATGATTATTATTATTAAAAAAAATTGTTTTTTAAATGTTAAGTTATCTAGTTTAAATATTTCAAAAAAAAATTATTAGAAATAAATTTTTTATAGTATATTAATAAAAGTTTTATATAACTCTATATATATATATATAATTTAAAGTTATATAAAACTAATATTAAGTAATTTAAAACTAAAATAATAGTAATAAATAATAATAATAATTATTCAAAATATTAATTATACCAACAACAACAAAAAAATACTAATTGTATTTGAAAATTATATTTTTGATTTAATTATGATTATTATTATTTAAAAAAATTTGTTTTTTAAATGTTAACTCATCTAGTGTGTTATTTTTCTAAAATTTTAATAATAATAATTAAATAAAAATAAATTACATATATATATATATATATATATATACAAATAAAATTATATATTTACTTTTAGAAATAAATTTTTATAGTATATTAATAAGTTTTATATAACTCTATATATAATTTAAAGTTATATAAAACTAATATTAAATAATTTAAAACTAAAATAATAAAAAAAAATAATAATAATTATTCAAAATATTAATTATACCAACAACAACAAAAAAATACTAATTGTATTTGAAAATTATATTTTTGATTTAATTATGATTATTATTATTAAAAAAAATTTGTTTTTTAAATGTTAAGTTATCTAGTTTAAATATTTAAAAAATAAATTATTAGAAATAAATTTTTATAGTATATTAATAAAAGTTTTATATAACTCTATATATATATATAATTTAAAGTTATATAAAAATAATATTAAGTAATTTAAAACTAAAATAATAATAATAAAATAATAATAATAATTATCCAAATATTAATTATACCAACAACAACAAAAAAATACTAATTGTATTTGAAAATTATATTTTTGATTTAATTATGATTATTATTATTAAAAAAAATTGTTTTTTAAATGTTAAGTTATCTAGTTTAAATATTTCAAAAAAAAATTATTAGAAATAAATTTTTTATAGTATATTAATAAAAGTTTTATATAACTCTATATATATATATATAATTTAAAGTTATATAAAACTAATATTAAGTAATTTAAAACTAAAATAATAGTAATAAATAATAATAATAATTATTCAAAATATTAATTATACCAACAACAACAAAAAAATACTAATTGTATTTGAAAATTATATTTTTGATTTAATTATGATTATTATTATTTAAAAAAATTTGTTTTTTAAATGTTAACTCATCTAGTGTGTTATTTTTCTAAAATTTTAATAATAATAATTAAATAAAAATAAATTACATATATATATATATATATATATATACAAATAAAATTATATATTTACTTTTAGAAATAAATTTTTATAGTATATTAATAAGTTTTATATAACTCTATATATAATTTAAAGTTATATAAAACTAATATTAAATAATTTAAAACTAAAATAATAAAAAAAAATAATAATAATTATTCAAAATATTAATTATACCAACAACAACAAAAAAATACTAATTGTATTTGAAAATTATATTTTTGATTTAATTATGATTATTATTATTAAAAAAAATTGTTTTTTAAATGTTAAGTTATCTAGTTTAAATATTTCAAAAAAAATTATTAGAAATAAATTTTTTATAGTATATTAATAAAAGTTTTATATAACTCTATATATATATATATAATTTAAAGTTATATAAAACTAATATTAAGTAATTTAAAACTAAAATAATAGTAATAAATAATAATAATAATTATTCAAAATATTAATTATACCAACAACAAAAAAAAATACTAATTGTATTTGAAATTTATATTTTTGATTTAATTATTATTAAAAAAAAATTTTGTTTTTTAAATGTTAAGTTATCTAGTGTGTTATTTTTCTAAAATTTTAATAATAATAATTAAATAAAAATAAATTACATATATATATATATATAATATTATATATTTACTTTTAGAAATAAATTTTTATAGTATATTAATAAGTTTTATATAACTCTATATATAATTTAAAGTTATATAAAACTAATATTAAGTAATTCAAAAACTAAAATTTAATTAAAAAAAAAGATTTAATTATTATTAATTTAAAAAAAAATTTTTAGTTGCCCAGAGTGTTATTTTAAAAAAAATAATTTAATAATTATAATAATTGAATCAAAATAAAATATAATATAAATTATGGTAAAATAGTATTTAATAATAATAACAATAAAAATACTAAAAAAATTTATTACTATTTTATAATTAATATATATTTTTTACTATTCATATTGAATGGTATTTATAATTAATAATTATATATATATTTAAAAAAAATAAAAATAAATATTAGTTGTGTTTTACACATACCTTCAGAAAATCCTGTTTAGTCTCCAAATACTGTTTAACGGAAGCCGAGGCCATAATATTGGCCTCAATTTTGTCGGTTTGCGGACAATTGGCACCGTAGTATAGCATGGCATCAATTTCCGCGGGTACTGTCTGTACGGGAACCGGTTGCCATTGCTGGGCCAGTCCCGATGATGGCTGCCATATCCATTGATTACGGGGCCGATACAAACCGGCGGCCATTAGTTGGGCACTTTCCAGACACCTTGACTTCGAGGTCGACCTCATACGTACCAATTTGGGTGACGACCCGAGAAACTGGTCGTATCGTTGCCTAAACTGTACGCCCGCTGCGTACAGCCGTTGTTTGCCTTTGTTGGTCAGTTCGCCCAGACCTTCGGGCCAGTAGTAGTCCTGGCCGTACGGATCATCCGTATAAAACGCCAGTGGTGTACGATCGCCGTGCCTGTGGACAACCTGTACCAGTACCAGGGTATTGGTTACCGATGATGATGAGTCATCGACTTGTTGGCCACCATCGTAACTACCGTAGCCGCCAGTGGCCACCACAGGTGGCATCGGCGCCGGTAGCGGTAGTGATGGTTGTGCCAAATACGGCGGTCTCATGTAATAATACTTTAGTAGTGGTCTATATTGCTGTCCGGTTCCGGGTCCGGGACCTCCTATTCCCTGATAGGACGGGTAGGTATTGGTATAATTGCTTGGCTGTCGTTGTTGTTGTGGATATGCTATATATTTCGGTACAATATATAGACCATTATTGTTATGGTTGTTGTTTGATGGCTGAGCTGCTGCTGCTGGTTGTGGTTTGACTACTGATGGTAATGGCTGTCCATATGGTGGTCGTACCGGTACCGGCACCGGCTGCTGATGATATTGTTGTTGATTGGGTCCATAATTAACTACAGGCGCCGGCGGTCCGTATTTGTTGTTAATATTTAAAGCATAGATATTAGTAAATAATGATAAAATGATTAACAATATGATTGTTAACCAATTGATAATAAAATTTAAAATTATCAATTGGTTGGCCATGTTTTTTTGGTTAATATCTATGGGATAGATATGTGATAGATATATGGGGTGTTTAGGTGATGGCCTATACTCATTGATAACTGGCCACTAAATGATTAGTTAGATACTGTTTGACAGCAAATTATATATATATATATATATATATCTATAATGTATTAAAACAATATATACAGTATATTATGTTAGCATTAATATTAAAAAAAAATATTATCATATAATTTATTATATATTAATAATTATAAATATTTTTTTTAGTACTAATACAATTGTATTTTGTTAATATATTAAATTATTAATTGTAATAATAATAATACTAATAATGATAATAATAAATGTTTGTTATTAATAATAAAATAAAAATTAAGATGATTGTTTGGAAATTTTTATTATAACTATAAAATATATAAATATTCAAATATATGTAATATTGAATAATACAGTATTTAATATCTATAGTATATAAAGTGTTTACATTAACTAATAATTTATTTTACATTAATCATATGATTGGATAAATTTTTTTTATTGATAATAATGTTTTAATAGTATATTAGATATCAGATTAAATATAAAATAATATATATATATATATATAATACAAATAATTGATAGTTAAGTGAAAATATTTATATAACAAATAAACTAAATATTTCAATAAATATTATATATTAAACTACAAAAATTTATTATTAGTTTATATTATTATTAATATATGAATCAATAATTTTATTATTAAGTATTATTAGTATTAAATCTTTTCAAATAATAATAATAATATTTCTAAAATAAATGATTATATTATTATTATTATTATAAATATTCATCCGATATTTTAAATGGGAATTTTAATATTTAAAATAAAATAAAATAATAAATGTTATTGTTAATATTTTTTTTTATATAAATAAATTTCCCCGGATATATTTAATCAAATATCTATTTGGGAAAATTTTTTACATTAATATATACAATATATAAATATAATATGATATAAACATCCTTAAAATATCTATTAAAAAAAAATTACAACACAACAAAAAATCTATTGTTTATACTTATATGAAATATTTATACAAAAAAATAACTTAATTTAAAAATTAAAAACTAAAATAAATTATATATATTGTTTTATTGGCTAAATTATTGCCTAACAACTAATAATAGTAAAATAATAATAATAATAAATAAATAATTATTTTATACATAAATCTATTTGAATAAAATATGTTATTTTAGGAAATTTTTTTTTAGTATTATTACAGTTATTATCATATATAACATTAGTCTAAAATACAATAATATATATTTTTTATTAATTTAACAAAAAATATATAAATTGATTGAATTGTTTTTCAACACAAAAAAAATCTATATTATATTATTATACCAATACTACTGTATCCATACAGTAGTTTTATTGTAACAAAAAAATAAAATAATATTTTTTTAAAATAATAATAAATTAAATATATATTTATACAGTATTTTAAAAAAAAATAAAACTTTATTATTAAAATTAATTAATATGTTTATATTAAAATATTATTTTTAGGTATCAAAGTTATTAATCATCAAACTTTAAGCATATTTTTTAAAATACTGTATAAATTAATGTGAATATTATTTTTTTGTATTAAAATAAGCTAATCATTACACAAACAATTTATTAATACATGTTATTTAAAAAAAATGTCATAATTATTAAATTAATTAGTTTTAAAAAAAAAATATTATTCAAAAATATTATCAATTTTATACTCAACTTGTTATCCACACGTGTGTTGTTGTTGTTGTCATAACAGTCACTATAATCAGTGATTTTTTTCCCATTGAAATGCAATTATTTGTTGTAATATTTATTGGATTCAAGCATTCAATGGCTTTACACAAAACAATACTATTTTTAGTCAAAAATTTTAATATATTTTCAACACTAAATATATATCAATATATATATATATATATTTATTAATTTAAAATTTACTAAATATATTCAAATTATGCTTTATTTTATTTTTTTGTTGTTGTAATTTTTATCATTTATTAACTACATATTTATAACTATTTTTAGTATTTAAAAAATAAAATAAAATACAACTCAAAACATATTATACATACTATCAATAACTACTACTACTACTAAATGTGTTTTTCAATAGTCAATGGGATAACTAATATTATAAAAAAAAAACTAAAATATATTTTATAATTTAATATATATATATATATTTATGTAAATTTATTATTAAGTTAGTAAATATTGAAAATTGGTGTATAAATTATACAAATAAAATTGGTTATGTCTATGGGTTAGTTAGTTAATTAGTTAGTCACCGATACATTTCAAGTAATGGACAGTTAGTTTTTTTTTATCCCGGTGCTTACAATTAGGTGTTTCATATGTGAATTTTAATGCAAAATAAAAAAAAACTTATAATACTTATAATTCAAATTTGATTAATGATAAGTAATAAAAAATTTTTTTGTTAAATATTTTATTTGTTTTAAAAAATATCATTAATAGACACATTTTTTTAAAATAATTATTGAATTACTAAACATAAATATAATGTATATAAAAGTTTTATAAACATTTTTTAAAAACAATTACATATTTTACTTATAAAATAATTATACAATAAAATAATTGTTTTTTTTAAATATTTTAATTAAATGACACAACTATTATAACTTTTGTCTGTCTATTATTAAAAAATAAATAAATAAATATTTTGGCTGATAAAATTGTATATAAGCTACCAAAAAAATTAAATAAATAATTAAAATTATAATTATTAGTAATAGTAAAAAATTAATATTAAGTAAAAAACACCAATACTTTACAATGAAATTATTAATACCTGTTTTAACAACACTAGTTATGGGACTACTTATCTATTGTAAGTATTTTTTGTTTTTGTTTTTAAAAAGTTAGAAAATTATAACTAATTAATTAATTAATTATTAACTAATAAAATTACTAATTATTATTATTATTATTATTATTATTATTATTATTATTAAACGCAAACACATATATAAAAATAAATACAAACATACATAAACACATACATAAACACTCACCCACCCATACACACCTATATATACATACACACAAACATACATATACAAATATAAATATACAAACATACATATACAAATATACATATACAAATATATATACACACACACAAACACATATACACACACATACATACATACACACAAACACATATATAAAAACAAATACAAACATACATAAACACGCATACACACCCACTCATACACACATACATATACACACACACATACATACACACACACATACACACACACATACACACACATAAACACACACATACATATACCCTGCTAACAGCACCGGTATCTACTATTGACATCAAGTTTGATCTGATCGATATACTCAACCGTAACGGTTTGTCATCGCTGGCCAACAAATATCGCCAGCCGCTGGTCAAACTCGGGTCAGATATGGTTCAATTTTTCGACCGACTGGCCACCAAACCCAACACTGTCGACGACCTGGACTATGCCATCCGTTACGATGTCGGCAATCTGGTCGACAATCTATACAATTGTGTTATAATATTCGAGAAAAATCTGGCCAAAGATATTAACCGACAATTTACCGGACGATTGGCAACTGTTGGCCAACTATTAGCTAAACTCAGGGATGCTATCCATCAAGTGTTTGATCCCAGGGTTAAGGATGTTCACAAACGTCCAGATATTAGACAACAAGCCATCGATAATAGTTTGGATACCGATTTGTATGGTTTGGCTCAGGTATTATCACAATCGCTAACCGAGGAACTGGAGCCACAGTTTAGTCGATCGTTGGCCGAGTTTTACAATGAAATAGGTCAGGCCTACGATGAAGCTGTCGGATCAAAGTTGAAGACCATGTTGTTGCCACCCGGCCATAGAGGAGTAGGAGGAGGAGGAGGAGGACAGGTAGTATCACCTGAAAAATATCGATATCTAATTGATTTTGATAGACAATGGGATCAACTGATGGATCAGATTAAGCAAACATTTAAAAATTAATAGTTTTTTATTCAAAAAATATTAAATTGATTTTTATATTCAAATATTTAATTGATTTTTATTCAAAATTTTAAATTGATTTTTATATTCAAATATTTTTATTAAAAATATTTAATTAATTTTTATTCAAAAAATATTTAATTGATTTTTATAAAAAATATTTAATTGATTTTTATTCAAAAAATATTAAATTGATTTTTATATTCAAATATTAAATTGATTTTTATTCAAATATTTAATTTATTTTAATTGTTTTTTATATTCAAATATTAAATTGATTTTTATTCAAATAAAAAATTACTTTTAATTAATAATTTTTATATTAATATAAAATAGATACCATTTTATTATGTAAAAATATTTTTAAAAAAAATTAAACATTAAATAAATAAAAATTTTATTAATTAAGTTTTTTTTAGTTATTAACATTGATATAAAATTATATACGGTTAACATTAATAATAATAATAATAAAAATTCAATTTTATAATAATTTATTTATTAGTTATTTTAATTATTAATATATGGAGACCTGGGTCAAATATCGTAATATAATTAGTCAATAATTTTTTTAAAAGTCAATTAATTATTAGTAGTTATTTTTTTATAAATGTAATTATTATATTAAAAACAAACATAATATAAAACAAGTTTTATTTAAAAAAAAAATTAGTTAATAATTATCAATAGCTATGTCAAAGTTTGTTGCAATGGTTTTTCAAAAAAAAAAAAAAAAATTATTATTGTTATTTAATAACACTTTCCTTTTTTTAATATAATTATTATTACATTATATATATATTATTCACTAATAACTGTTAACAACAAACAACAAAAAAGTTTTATCCAATTTGTATTATATTTTAATATTATATAATAGTATTATACTTTACTTTACTTTACTGTAAAAATGTAAATATCAAACAAAATAAATTACTTCAAACACAACAACAACAACAATGTGTTAGTTGAAAGTGGTTTTTTCATTTAGGATTTTATTATTATTATTATTATTATTGTCATAAAATTTAGGCCACATTTGTTTGTCTCTCATTAGAGAGAGAGAGAGAGAGAGAGAGAGAGAGAGAGAGAGAGAGAGAGAGAGAGCAATAGGAAACCTAAAAGTTCACCTCATATTAGAGACAACACTAATATATTATATATAATATACAGTATATATATATATATATATATATATATATATATATATATATCTTAATAAACAACAAAAACAATTAAAAAGGAAATACAGTTTTCATTTATTTATTTTTTTGGTTTAGGTATTTCCCACAGTTAGACAAACTTGTATATTATATGTCACCCATACCTGTGCTGATTGACTTAAAAAAAAATTAGTGATACCTACCAGTGCTCCCCATTAGCATCTATTCAAGTGTTACAATAAACAATAATAATTTTAATAATAGATAGATAACTATTATATATATACTATCAATAATATTGATAATATCGACAACAAAAAGTCAATAAATAAAAAGCAAAAGTTTTTTTTGTTAATAAATAAAATTGTTTTTTTTGATTTATAAATGATTAGCTTATCTATCGGTGATTTTTATTTAATAATAAATACTGTTATAATAATAATAATAATAATTTAATATTATTTTTTTAAATGTTTTTTCGATAATTATCTTAACAATTAAGTGATTGTAAATAACCAGTAATTGATTGTATTATTATTATTTTTTTTACAAATTTTTATTTATTTAGTATTATTAGTCCCTATAATTACCGTCTGCTTAATGAAGTGTTATATAAAAATATATATATATATAATAAAAAACAATTTATTAATGATTTAATTAATATAAAAAAATGTTTGATTGATTATATTGTATATAACTTACTATACATTGTTGTTATATACTGTAATATAAATGATAAATAATATTTGATATTAAATATATTAGATAACAATTATATATATATATATATATATATAATTAAAAATATATATATCATAATTGTTTAATTTTGTGACTGTTTTTTAAATTATAAAAAAATTGTTTGAAAAAAAACTTTTATAAAGTTTTTTATCGTTATATTATATTTTGTTTGTTTTGTTTATACAGTAAATAATTTTTTTTGTTCATAATTTAATAAAATGGATACAAAATTGTTAAACTGTTTGCTATTGTTTTGTATATTTTTAGCCAAATTTATTGTAATTAATGGCCAATATATGCCGTTTAGGTTTAATAGTAATAATAATAATAATAATAATAATAATCCTTTTCAAAGGGCATATCAAGGTATGTATTGAACTAATAATAATAATAATAATAAATAGTTTTTATTATAATATTTTTTTTATTATTATATCAAAACAATTACTAATTTATTAGATATATATATATATAAAATATTAATATCAGTAATGCAATTGTTTTAGTATATTATAAAAATTAAAAAAATTATATACAATATATTGTATTTATAGAAAGTTATTATTATTTTTTTAGATATTAAACATAATTTTTATTATTTAAAAAAACAATAATAATATTAATTTAAAAAAAAATATTTTTAATATTTATATTAAATAAATTTATATTTTTATAATTTGTTATAATAGTATTACTTAATTATAATACTATATTATAAAGTTTATTAGTAAAGTCTATCTAAAAAAATAAAAAAATAAATTAATTATTATTATTATTGTTAAAACATTTATATAATAATAATATAATAAATTAAAATAAAATTTTATTTATAATAATAATTATTTAAAATTATTAGCCTGGACTATTTTTTTCATTAATAATTAATACTAATTAATTAATTTATTATTATTATTATTATTAAAATATTTATATAATAATAATATAATAAATTCAAATAAAAATTTTGTTTATAATAATAATTATTTAAAATTATTTAGCCTGGACTACTTTTTCCTTAATAATTAATACTAATTAATTAATTAATTATTATTATTATTATGAATACCCAGGTCGATTATATGAACGGTTCGCCAACTATGGCCAACAACAACCGGGAGCAGCACTGGTAGCTAATAGACAACTACATCAACAACAACAGCAACCGTTTGGCGGCAGCGGCTTCGGTAGCTTTGACGGTGGCCTCAACTTTGGCCGTAACTTTGGTGGTACAGGTGGTGGTGGCGGTAACAGCGGCGGCCGCGCCAGTGGTCGTAATGCCGATGAGTTTGGCGACAACAGCGGCGGCTACGGTGGCGGCGGCGGTGATGAAGAAGCCGATGGCGGCGACGGGGAGTTTGGCGGCAATGATGATGATAATGACCGTGACTTTTATGGCGACGGTGGCGACGACACCGACGATAATAATCTTGACTATAATGATGTCGTTTCCGGCGGCGGCGGCGGAGACGGTCGTGACTTTGATCCGTACCGTTATGTTAGCGATGCCATCGGCGGCGGCGGCGGCGGCGGTGGCGGTGACGGCGACGGCCATAGTAACGAGTATTTTGAGGACAAAAAATAAATAAATAAATAATTAATTAATTAATTAAATTTTTTTCTGACTATTATTTTTTGAGTAAAAACTATATTTATTTTATTAATGAAAATATATTAATGAAATTATATTATAATTATTATGATTATAATTACTGTTATATTAATTATAATTATGTTTTTTTGTTTGTTTTGTTTTGTTATAATAAATACAGATTTTTTAAAATTTTATATTTTGTATGATAGAAATTATTTAATTTATTTTTTTATTTTTAATAAAATTTTATTTATTATTATTTTGTAATTATATATTTGAAAAATAATCTTTATTATTATTTTATTACATACTATTATAAAAAAAATTTATTACTATTATTATAATAAATTATTATTTTCTAATTAATTAATTAAATAAAATAATAAAATTAATTAATTGTTTTTTATTAAGTAAATAATTTTCATTTAATTATATAGATATTTGTTTATAACATTTACTTATAAAAGTAAAAAAAAATACTAAAAAAAATAATTATTAGTAATTAGTCAATGTTTGAAAACTATTTGCTGTTATTTTATTATAACTGTTTATTATATGTAATAAAAAAATATGTAATTAAAAAAACATAAAAATTCAAATAATAATCATTAATTAACAAATAATTTTTTTATGCAATATTATAATATTATAATTAAAACTATTTTAACAATTTTATTTTTGTAATATGAAATTATCATCAATTTAATGTACAACAAAACCAATAAAGTTTTACTTAAAAAAATTTTTTTTTGATTAAATGACCAAGCCAAAAAAAATATTACATTTTTTAAATAATTAATAATGTCATACATTGTCTATATATTGTATATAAATATTGTTAATTTTTAAAAAATTATTTATTAATTTCTATTATTTATTAATTTAATAAAAATGTCTAAAAACTTTATTTTCATTTTTATAATCATTGCTAAAATAAATAATTGGACACAATGTAAGTGTAATATTGTACTGTATATATACTGTATATATACTGTATATATACTGTATATATACTGTATATATACTGTATATATACTGTATATATTTAATTTGTTTTATTATAATATATGTTAATGTATTTTTGTAAAAATGTTATAATAATTTTATTTTCTAAAAAATATACAGTATATGAAAATAATAATAATAATAAATAACATTTAATAGTATAATAAAGTTAGATATTAGTAACAACTTTATTAAATATTAGATAATAATAATAAAAATATTATAATAATTTATTATTAATCATCTATATATTTATAATATTAATTATCTATCTATTTATATATTTAACAAATTTAACCCATTATTTAACCCCATCCTAACCCAACTCAACCCCATCCCCAGTAATCTATATATCTATCAAATTTAACCCATTATCTATAGCCCCATCCCATCCCAACCCACTTCCACCCCAACCATCAATAATCTATATATCTATCAAATTTAACCCATCATCTAACCCCATCCCAACCCACCTCCACCTCAACCCTCAATAATCTATATATCTCTCAAATTTAACCCATTATCTATAGCCCCATCCCAACCCAACCCAACCCAACCCACCTCAACCCCCATCCCCAGTAATCTATATAACTATTATATATATATATATTTATAGGTAAACTAACTACTGGTGGCGATTACTATCCGTTCAATTTTGACGGTATAGCCAGACTGCATAACTTGGGCCCGGAAATGGACCGCAAAGGTTACATAATGAACGTAATGGCCCACCAGTTGGAGATACTGTTCCAACAGACGGCACACTCGGAACCGGTAGACGACTTTGATTTTGCCGTCCGAGACGACATACGGCCAATGCTAGCCGATTGGGCACTGGCCCAGGATTTTGTCAAACGTAACGGTAATGATGATAGAGATTTCTACTTTATGGATATACTATGGGACCCCACCCACGCCACCCCCACCCCATCCCCCGCCTCTCATATCTATATTGCTATTGTTATATATACTGTATGTATATATATATAACATTATACATTAGTACAATACTATACACTACAACTACTATACACAAAAAAAATGCGATACCTATATGTAAAAAATATTTTAAAATTATTTAATGATAATAATAATAATAAAAAGTTTCTCAGTAAATTTCTCCATGGAATAAATTTCTATAGTATATAAAAATTTCTACTCTATTGTTATACTATGGAACCCCACCCTCACCCCCACCCTCATCCCCACCACACCCCGCCTCTCATATCTATATTGCTATTGTTATATATATATATAACATTATACTAGTACAGTACTATACACTACAACTAGTATACACACAACAAAAAAATGCGATACCTATATGTAAAAAATAATTTAAAATAATTTAATAATAATAATAATCAGTTTTATTGTAAAATTTATTAATAATAATTTTATTTTAGATAATTAAATTAATTTAATACTTTAATTAATAATTAAAAAAAATATATATTAATACTAATTATTACTAATAGACTAATAATTTGAATTATTTTGTATACATAATAACATATATCGAGAAAAACAAAATTAACTATGGGGGTTGGGGGGTGGGTGGGTGGGATCCCATAGATAGATAGTTTTTTTTTGCAGAAACTTTCTAGAAATTTTACTATTATTTTTGTGTGTTTGTATAAAAATTACTGTATTTTATTGCCAACACATTAGGTAATGGCGGCGATAAACTGGGCCAACAATTACAAACATTACAACAATTGATGCGATCGCTGGCCGATAAAATCAAACAGGAATTTGATCCGATAATTGGTCAGCGGGTTAGACAATCCCCGGCTATATACCCGGCCACCCGATTGACGGAAATATTTCGTACGGCTTCCTATACGATAGGACCGGATCTATTGAAACCGTATGAACCGGATTTTGCCCAAACACAAGCCGAGTATGTGGGCAATATGGGTTCGGCTATGAACTGGGCATTGGACAGACACCTGGAGCTGCTGCTGGCACCGGGTGTCGGTCGTCCGATACCCGCATATTTGCAACAATTCCGGCGCTATTGGAACCAACATATACAGGCCATACAGTCTGTATGTTATAATTAAATTAAATTATTTTATTTTTTTTTTTACTAAACAGTAATAATTATTTTTATTAAACAGTAATAATTATTTTTAATAAACAGTAATTAAATTTAATAAACAAAATTTATTAATTTGTAATAAAAAAAATAATTAATTTTAATAGACATGATTTATTAATTTTTAATATACAAAATTTATTAATTTTAAATAAACAAAATTTATTAATTTTTTAATAAACAAAATTTATTAATTTTAAATAAACACAAAATAATTAATTTTAATATAGAGTAATTAATTTTTTATATATAATAATAATATTTAATTAATATATAAAACTATATAAATGATTTCTATTAAATTTATATTATATTTTATCAAAAAAAATTTTTTTTTGTTTTAATTATTTAAAGTTAGTTTTTTTTTAAATTTTAAACAATAAAATTTAAATTTATTTAAAAATCATTGTTTACTATACTAGTAAATTAGGCATTTATTAATAGTGTCAGGCGCTTATAGATCTAGCCTATCCATGGGTAATACCTACCGGTGCTAAAAAAAATGTATATATTATATATATTTTTAAAAAAATAATTACATATAATAAGATGATTAATATATTATATTATGTTAACCCTATTATTAATTTTCATTAATTATTTTAATATCATAATTACAGTTATATTTAAAATGATAAAAATATATTTATATTTTTGTTTGGATATCATAAATATATTGTAGTTTTATTTATAATTATTTTTTTTGTAATAATATGAAAAAAGTTATGTTTTATTAAATAAAAATTTAGTTTTTTTTATTGTTGAAAACTGTTTAATCATTAATCAGTAAATCATAAATAAAATGTTTTATTTTTATATAAAAATTTTTATTGAAAAACTATTATAATATTTACATAATTATTATATTACATGAAAATAAATGCTTTTATTATACAGTTATTATATTATTATTATTATTACTATTATTAAATATAATTGTTTAAATTAAAATAATTTTATTACAATATATATATATATTTAATTATTTAGATGTTTGTTATATTTAGTTAAAAGTAAAAATATTATTATTTAAAAAATAAATAAATAAAATAAAAACTTATTAGTTATACAGTTATGATTAAAATATTTTGAAAATTAAAAATCAGTTACGTTTTAAAAACATAAAAAATGCGAATAATAAGCATTAATAAACAAATTTTAAAAAAAATTTTATTCAACATTCAATTGACAATAAAACTATTCAAACAATTTTTATATTTTAATATTATATACAATTCATTAATAATAAAAATAAAATAATTTTAATAAAAAAATTTCAGTTTAAATGATATAGCTAAATAATTGTTTAATATTTTTTGCTTACATTATAAATTATATTATAATCAGGGTTTTTAAAAATAATAATAATAAATGCCTACCCTATCAATGCCTATATAAAAAAGTCACAGTGATTTTGGGCATCTATTTAATTTGCCTGCCATTTTTAATTATTAAAAATAATGTAAACTGCATTTACATAATATAGTAATATCCTGTTAATTAATTATATAATTAATAGATTTATTTTTAATGAGATTATTGTATAATTTAGGGTTAATATTAAACAAATAATATATATATATATATATATATATATATATATATATATTGATAAAACAATGTATTTTTTAAATTAATTGATAATATATACATAAAATAATAGGTGGGTCCCCACCTTAAAATAGATGCCCATTGCATGACAAAAAAATGGCATATATTGTTTAATGCCTGCCATGTTTACAACCCTGATTACACTATCGATACCTGTATAATGTACTTATATATAAAATGTTTTCTACTAAAATATAGTTTTTATTATATATAAAAATTTTTACAAAAAATTAATTAAAAAGTTTTATATTAATTTTTAACCTAACTATAAATATTTGGTCAACAACAAAAAAAATGTTTAAAAAATATTTTATAATTTTTTTAATCATTATTTCTACAGCTATTGATTTGAATCAATGTAAGTGTAAAATAATATAATTATTTTTTTCAATTTGTTTGTTATAATTTAAAACTTTAAAATATTATTTATATTATTTAAATACTGTATAAATTTAACTTAAAATTTATTTCAATATAAATGTATATTATATGTAAATTAAAAATTATTTAATATTTTTTATTAAATTTTAAAGTATTAGAGTTTATAATTAAATGATATACATGTACACTGATTAAATAATTTAATTAAAAAAAATTAATTAATTGTAACCTTAAAATAATAGAAATTTTCAAGATATAAAAAAAATTATATATCAAAATAATAATTAGATAATTAACAACAATTACTAAAAAAAATTAATATATTATTTAATTTAAACAATTAATAAATAAACAGTTATGTATATATCAATATTTAAATTATTATAAATATATGGATTAATACAAAAAAAATAAATAAAAAAAATAAAATAATTTTTTATAGGTAGTCAACCGAGCACAGGTATCTTAGATAATTCATATTTAATTAGCCTATTATTAACCTATAATTAACTATAATTATAATTAACCTATTTATAATTAAATAATATATATATACAGTATATATAACCACAAAAAATAATTATCTATATAATTATTAATAAAAAAAAATTTTTAGGTAAACCCAGCACAGGTAGCTGAAAATAAAAAATAACTATACAATTGATACTATTTATTTTTGTTTTGTTTAAAATTTATTATCCAACTCATTATCATCAATAATTTATACTTATATAATTTAACTTGATTAGATAAACAAAACAAATTAAATAATTAACATTATACTTATTAAAAACTTTAGTATATATACTAAAAAAAATTTTTTTTAAAAATTAATATAATTTAATATTATTATTATTTGAAATAAAAAACTAAACACTAGATAATAATAAATTTTAATAAATTTATTATTATATAATTGACTAACTAATTATAACTAACTAATTAATTAATCTAATTTCATTTATATAATCTATTTATAACTCATATATATATTATTTTATTATTAATAATAATTATAAATAAATAATTATTTTTATTTCTGGCTATATACTATATACAGTATATAACCACAAATAAAAAAATAATTATTTATTTAAAATTTAAAATTAAATTTTTTTTCAGGTAAACCCAGCAGCACAGGTAGCTTAGCTACTAATGATGACGACCAACAATCATACTATCCGTTTAATTTTGACGGTATTGTTAGACTACATCATTTAGGTGGGGAAATGGATCGGAAAGGTATCATTTTGGATGAAATGTCCCAAAAATTACAACAACTATTCAAACGTTTGGCCCATTTATCGGGACGGGTATTATATGATTTTGATTTTGCGCTGAGGGATGATATTAGGCCATTGATCTTGGATTGGTCTACCAGTTTGAATTTTACCAAACGTAACCAGGATCAGCTAGGTGATAAAATGGATCGGCAGTTATCAAATGTTCAACAATTGCTGGGATCGTTAGCCCAGAAAATTAAGCGACAATTTGATCGGATAATTGCTGGACGTGTTAGGATAGGGTCAGCTATATATCCCGGTACACGTTTGCAACAATTATTTGAATCGGCCGATTTTAATATAGGTCAGTATATATATATATATATATATATATTTAGAGAGAGAGAGAGAGAGAGAAATTTCTAGAAAGTTTCTTATTTTTTAATAAGAAATTTTTACAAAGTTTCCCATATTTTTTTTAATATAAATTTCTAGAAAGTTTCTTATTTTTTAATAAGAAATTTTTACAAAGTTTCCCATTTTTTTTTAATATAAATTTCTAGAAAGTTTCTTATTTTTTAATAAGAAATTTTTACAAAGTTTCCCATTTTTTTAATATAAATTTCTAGAAAGTTTCTTAAAAATTTAATAAGAAATTTTTACAAAGTTTCCCATTTTTTTTTATTTAATATAAATTTCTAGAAAATTTCTCCTTATTAATTAGTAGCTTATTAATCGATATATTATCTATAGTTTTATCTAAATAGTTAAAAATAATTATTTTTTGTTGTTGATTACATGTAATAGTTAAATATTATTATTATTATTATTATTATTATTATTATTATTATTAGAGAGAGAGAGAGAGAGAGAGAGAGATAATTTTTTTTACATTTTTTTATATATAATTACAACTTTATAATTTACAAGTAATAATTAAATAATAATAATATTATTATTATTTAATTTAAGTAATTTAATTAATAATTTATTTAACTAGAAAATTTTAATATAATAATTTTATTTTTTTTAATTATATTTAAACAAAACAAAAATATAATTAAAAAATATTTTATAACAATTTAATATTTTCTATATATATAATTTTTGTATAATTTATTATCATATATATATATATATATATATATATATATATATATATATATAAAGTATTACAAAATTTCATAGTATAATAAAAAAATAATAATAATAATAATGTAAAATTTTTTAATAGAAATTTTACTTGAAATATTCTTATTGATGGAAATTTTATTTTTTTTAATTTTTTAAATTTTCCCCCTTTCACTCCCCCAATCTCTATGAATATACTATAGGATCTGATCTAACTAAACCGTTTGAACAGAATTTTACGCCAATAATGGCCGAATTTATTGGTAATTGGGGTTCGGCTATGAACTGGGCATTGGATAAGCACCTGGAGGTGCTGTTGGCACCGGGTGTTGGACGTCCAATACCCGCTTATTTGCAACAATTCAGGCGCTATTGGAACCAACATATACATGATATACAGTCTATACTTTATGCTTAATATTTTTTGTTTAATAATACAGTATATAATATTAATTTTTTAATTAATAAAATTTTTTAATTAAAAATAATAACTATAATAAAAATTTGAATATTAGATTTAGATTATAAAATTATTTTTTTAATATTAAATATATTTTTTAATATTAAATATATTTTTTAATATTAAATATATTTTTAATATTATATTAATAGTAATTTATTATATTGTAATTTTTGTTGTGTTATTAAATATTTGATATTTGATTGATATAATAATAAATATTGATATTTAGTTAATTTAATTAAATTTATTTACACTAACATAATTATAATTTATATAATTTTTTTTGTAATAATAAATATTATTAATAAAATATTAATATAATAATAAATGATTTCAAAATATTAAAACAAATAGCTATAATATAAAAGTTTTTAATTAAGTTTATTATTATGATAATAAAAATAAATAATAAATTAATGTCTGATTATTTACAGTTAATATTATAAAATAAAATATTTTTTTTATATAAATATTTTAGTAACAAAAAAAATCATTAATAGACACATTTTTTTCATATATACATTACTAAACATTTACAACAACAACAAAAAAGTTTTTAAAGTTTTAAAACAATTTAGTTTAGCAAAAAAATATGTTTTTACAGTAACTTTAAATTAAATTACACATAGATTTTATCAATAATTTTAAAACTATTTACTAGACTATAGCATTAATTTCATAATAATAAAAACCTACCCAATCTAGTATCTACTGGTGCTATAAAAATCAATTGCCTATAAAAACATAACTAACTTTTTATTAAATGTTAACCTAAACTAAAAATTTTATTAGTTTAATACAAAAATAAATTGAGATTTTTTTTACATTTGATATAAAAGTTTACATTTTAATAAAAATATTTTATTTATTTATTTTTTAAATAATAAACTTATAAAAATATTTTAAAACTTTATAACAAACAACAAAAAAATCAAACATCATTAAGTATTTTAAATAATTTTTAAAAAAATAAATAAAATAAACTATAATATACTGTATTTTATAAAATATATTTGTAGATATTTATTTTTCAAAATAAAAAAATTTATAAAAAGTTAAAAAATGTACATATTAATTTATTTGCTATATTAGTACTAACAATATACTGTATTATTATTAATTATTTTTTTCTAATCTAAACATCTACTTAGTTAAAAAAAATAATTTTATTAAAAATTAAATTTCAATAATTTTTTAAAAATTAAATAAATCAATCAATCATCATGAATTATTTTATAATTAATAATAATAATAATAATAATAAACACCAATCAATAATACTAATAACAGTTATAATATGTCTATATTTATTAAATGGTAAGTTAAATGTTATTAAATTAATTTAAATTTAAATATTTGATTATAATTAAAAAAATTAAATTTCAACTATATTTTGTAATTAATTTTGTTTGTTAATTATTATTATGAAAAAATATTAGATAAAGTTAATGGACAGTTAGGTTTGGGATTTGGTGGTGGTTTATATGGTGGTGGCGGACCATTTGGTCGTTTAGGTGGTAGAGGCGGCGGTTTATATGGTGGTGGTGGCGACGGCTTAGGTGGTAGAGGTTGGGGCTACGGTGGTCTATATGGTGGTGGCGGTGGCTTCGGTGGCGGAGGCTTAGGTGGTTTGGGTGGTGGCGGCGGCGGTTTCGGTGGTTTAGGAGCCGGAGGCTTAGGTGGTTTGGGTGATGGTGGAGGCGGTTTAGGTGGTGGTGGTGAAGGCTTAAATGGTTTGGGTGGCGGCGGAGGCTTTGGTGGTTTGGGTGGTGTTGGCGGCGGATTAGGTGGTTTGGGTGGTGCTGGCGGAGGTTTAGGTGGTTTAGGTAGTGGTGGCGGCGGATTAGGTGGTTTGGGTGGTAGAGGTTGGGGCTACGGTGGTTTATATGGTGGTGGCGGCCCATTAGGTGGTTTATACGGTGGTGGAGGCTTCGGTGGTTTAGGTGGTGGCAGAGGCTTAGGTGGTAGAGGCGCCGGCTATGGTGATATAGGTGGGCGTGGCTGGGGCTATGGCGGTTTAGATGGTGGTGCTGGTGGTGGTGGTGGTGCTGGTGGCCTAGGTGGTTATGGAGGTGGCGACAGCTTAGGTGGTTTAGGTGGTGGTGGTGTCGGCTATATATTAGATGACTGATCATAACTATTATATATTATTTTTATTTTTAATTATGTTATCTAATTTGTTTTGTGTTAATTTTTTTTAAAAATTTTAATCTTACTAAAAATTTATTAGCTAAAAAAATAAAGCTAAAAAATTAGCTAAAAATAAAATAATAGATTAGATACAATTAAATATAAATATAAATATAAATATTTTTATTTTTTATATAATTGTTTAATAAATAGCTTAATAATAAAGATTTAAGTTTTTTTAAGTTTATTAGTATATTATAATAATAATAATAAAAATTAAATTAATGTTAAGATTATTAATAGTTACTATTATATTCAACAACAAAAAGATATTTTAATAATTTTTTAATAGTTTATTAAATATTTTTTTGACAACAAAAAAATCATTAATAGACATATTTTTTTAAAAAAAATATTACTAAACATTTAAAACAAATTTTTCAACAAAAAAAACACATTTTGAAAGTTTTTAAAATAACTTTACTTAAAAATGACACATCAATTATATATTTATTTAAAAAAAAAATAAATTATTTACTAGACTAGACATTTATTTCACAATTATAAAAGGCTACCTAAGCTACTGTACTAGTATCTACTGGTGCTATAAAATTATCAATCACTAGCACCTGAACTATACAAAAATATTATCAATACATAGAAATCAATGGGAAAATAAATTGCCTATAAATAGATAATAATATTATATAAAAAAAATATTTTTTTTGGTACTAATATAAGTAGTATTTAGATCGTAACAAATTATATACAATAAAATTAAATAAAATAATTATTTTATTATATAATATAATTAATAATATATATAATAATTTATTTTTTACAACTAGAAAATGTTTAAATATGTCTATATTGTATATACAGTATATAAATATCAATATATATATATATTATTTTATTTATAAAATTTAATTTTGGATTTATTAGTTAAAGATAATTATTTTTTTTTAATTATAACAATTGTTATTAAAAAAATGTTAATCTCAGCCAAACAAATATTTTTTTTATGTTAGAAAATAATAATAATTAAATATATTTATATAAATCATTTAACAACTATTTGATGGCTAATATATTGAGAATTTTTTTTTTTGAAAAAAAAATTTGATATAAAAATTTTTCATAGTAATTAAACTATTTAATTTAGTTTTTTTTTTGAAAAAAAAATAAATTTCTAAAATTATTTAAAAACTTTATAACACAAAACTAAATAATACATAATCATTATGTATTTGAAATATGTTTTTTCAACAAAAAAAAATAAAACTATACTGTATACTGTATTTAATCAAATGTACTAGTAGATTTAAAAATTTTTCAAAAAAAAAATTAATTAAAATAATTAAATGTACATATTAATTTTAGTTATATTAGTACTAACAATACTGTATTATTATCATTATTATTTTAATTATTATTTCTAAATCATTTTATTTTTTAAGTAAAAAAAACATCAACTATTAGTTTAAAAAAAAATAATTAAAATTAATTAAAAGTTTTTTTTTAAAAAATTAAATCATGAATTTATTTCTAATTACTACTAATAATAATAATAAACATCAATCAATAATACTGATAACAGCAACAATATGTCTATATTTATTAAATGGTAAGTTAAATGTTATTTAATTTAATTGAATTAATTAAATAATATAAAAAACAATTGATAATAATATTTAATTTAATTGCATCTATATTTTTAATTAATTAATTAATTATGTTTTTTTGTTAATTAATTGTTGCTAATTATTATTATTATTATTATTAAAAACTAATAAATAGATAAAGTTAACGGACAGTTAGGTGGAGGCAGTTTAGGTGGCGGTGGCGGCGGTTTGGGTGGTTTAGGTGGTGGTGGCGGCGGCAGTTTGGGTGGTTTAGGTGGTGGTGGCGGCGGCAGTTTGGGTGGTTTAGGTGGTGGTGGCGGAGGTTTAGGCGGTTTAGGTGGTGGTGGCGGAGGTTTAGGCGGTTTAGGTGGTGGTGGCGGAGGTTTAGGCGGTTTAGGTGGTGGTGGCGGAGGTTTAGGCGGTTTAGGTGGTTTAGGCGGTGGCGGTAGCGGTTTAGGAGGTTTAGGCGGAGGTAGTTTAGGTGGCAATAGCCTACTAAATAGCTACCCGTTCAACCTGAACAGTATACTATTGAAATACGGTTTCGGTCAGGTAGTCACCAAATTTCATTGTTTTCTAACCGATTTGGACAATGATCTATCCGGTCTGTTTGCCGGTGTAGCCAACTCCGGATCTGACTATCCCTATGCCATACGCGATGATATCGGTGAACTACTGGGCGATTTGAATACCACCCTAGACTACCATTCCTCATTGGTACATTCATCAGATGATTATGGTCAACGTTTGGATCAGGTTCAATTGCATCTGGGTAAATTGATTGATTTTACTAATCAAGTTTTCGATAAATTGTTGGACGATAAACCACGTCTAGGTATGTAGTAATATTATTTTTTTTTTGTTTAAAAATTATCTAGATAATTTTTCTGAAAATATATAAAATAAATTTTTTTATAGTTTTTTTTAATTAGTAAGAGAGAGAGAGAGAGAGAGAGAGAGAGAGAGAGAAATTTTTCTAGTATTTTAGCAAAAAATTATATTTTTTTTGTTACATTACATATAATCACACATATATATATATATATATATAAATTATACAGTATATATATACCGGTATATAGTTATTTTTAAATAATTATTTTATTTAATAATAATATTTTTTAAAAAAAAAATACACAAAAATTTTTAAGTCAAAAAAAATATTAGTTAAAGATAAAAATAAAATTACAAATATTACAAGTAATACTTAAATATATTAAATAATATATATATATATATATTGTTATAAATTATTAGTAAAATTAGATTCAAATATTAAATATTAGAATTAATTTAGATATAAATTCAACTAAAATAAAAACAATTTACAACAATTAAGTATTTATTTTTACATTTTTAAAATGTTTATACTATTACTATCTACCTAACCATCCAAACACCCACCCACCCACCCACCCAACCACCTACAGGCATACCCCTATACAATGGCACCCAAATTAGCCAGATATTGAAATGGACATCCGATCAGCTGGGCACTTTTATTACGGCCGAACATGAACCTCGATTTCAGCAGGTACTTGGTCAATTGTTTAGTACTATTGACAATGCCATGCACTGGGCTAACCAACGTCACCAGATCCAGTCACTGTGGTCCGGGCTATCAAGTTTAGCTGAACATCAGGCACTACTAGATTTTATGACCAAATGGAACCAGGAGTTTGGATCCATTATCGGTGCACTACAGTAGTCCACCCTAACCCAACCCACCCCTACCTAAGTGTAGGTGCTGTTAGCTTAAAATAGCACCTCCATGGGGGGTGTCATTTATTATGTTTAATTAAATATATATATATTTTTCAAAATTTTTTATTTAAAACAAAAATTTTGTTTTTAAAAATTTAATGATAATTTTTTTTGTTCAAAATTTATGTTTGTTTTTTTGGATTTATATTATTATTATTATTATTATTATTATTATTATATATAGATAATGCTAGATATATAATGATTTTTTTGTAATTAATTAATTATTATTTAATAATTTAGTAATTTATTATTTAATTTAGTTTAATTAATAATTTAGTAAGTAATTATTAATAATTTAGTAATTAATTAATTATAAAATGTTTTTTTTCTATATATATTTTTAATTTAGCTATTTATATGTTAAGTAACTAAAATTTAGTATTATTGTTATTTTTTTGATTATTATTATTGTTTTATTTTTTGTTGTTGTATTAATTTTTAATAATGTACAATAAAACTATTTGTATTGTTGTTATTGTTTTTATTTTTAATCAAAAAAGCATAATAAATTAAAATTTAACTAAAAAAATATATTTATTTAGCTATTTATTTTACTAATATAGAAAACTATAATTTTTTCAAATGTAATTATTGTAAATTGTAAATGTAAAGTATAAAATTATAACAATTTTTATAGTATACACTGTAAAATCAATAGTTTTTTTTAATTATTTATTAGTTATTATTTAGTAAAAAATAAATATATAGATAATTATTTACTTAAATAATTAATTAATTAAAAATAAATATTATGGTTATTCAATTATATAAACATATAATAAAATAAATAAAAATTGCTAACTATATATTTTATATATGTCTATTATATATAATAAATATATAAAATAAATATAATAATAGTATTAAATTTTTAATATAATTTGCACAAAATAAATATAACATTTTTAAATTGTAAAATAATAAAAATAAATATTTGTTTATATTTTTACAATAAACATATAATTACATATTATTATTATTATTATTATTATTATTATTATTATTATTATTATTATTATTACTCAAAAAAATTGTATTTTATTTGGTCAGCCATATAAAAAAATCTAATAGCACCTGTTGTACAATAGGTATATTGAGATAATCAGTACAGCAAAAAAAATAATAATAAAATAAAAATAACCAGGACCAAGGTGTTTTATTGGCTATCCAAGCTTATTTAATTTTTATTATTATTATTATTTAATTAAAATGTTTTAATAATACTGTATATAGTTTGCTATCAGTATTTATAATATGTATTTTTTTTTGATTAGAAATTAAATTAATAAATTAAGTATAATATTAATAATAATAATAAAAATTCTATGAAAAATTCAAAATTATTATATAATAAATAGTAATTTAATTAATTTTTTTTCATTAGCAATAAATACAATTTTAATATTGTTTTTCATAATCAATAAACATATTAGAAAAACAATAACTTTATAATTATTTATAGTTTAAAAAAAATACTAAAAATGATTAAAAAAAATAACAAATTATTGATTTAATTTTTTGAAATCCAATACATAATTACACAAAAAATTGCATAATTTTAAAGTAATTCAATATAATAGAAAAATGTTTCAAAATTTTCTATTGAAAAGATTTTTGTATTATTTAAATATTTATAATATTTTATAAAATATAATATATAATTTTAATTTTTTTTTAATAAACTAATTTTTATTTGTAATTTTGTGATTTTGAATTGTTACAAACATACTGTATAAATAAAAGTTGAATTGAATTTTTTAATAATAAAATATACAATAGTTTTGTAAAAATTATTATTTTATTTTTAATTTTTTTCTTAAAATAAAGTTATATAAAGTATAGTTATTATTATAATTAAGTTTTATATTCAAATAAATTTACAACAAAATAACTAAAATAAAAATATACAATTATTTATTTTATTAATAACTATTTAATATATTTAGGTAGATTATTAATTAATTAATTTTTTGTATATTGTTTTTTAAAAAAATATGGCTAAAAATCATCAACAAGCTAAACTAATACTAATCAGTCTAATCTTATTTATTATGCCATTTTATATAATGCTACAAGGTAATTATTATTAATTAATTTTCATAAATAATAATAATTTAATTTTTAAATAGTAATAATTTGGTTCTTAAATTAATAATAATTTAGTTTTTAAAATATATAATAATTTAGATTTTAAATAATAATAATTTATTTTTTTAAATAATAATAATTTATATTTTTTATAAATAATAATTTTTTCATTAATAACTAATAATTTTAATTTTTTTATAAATAATAGTTTTTAATAAATTTTTTTTTATTTTATTAATTATTTTTTTAAAAAAAAATAAGATCCTAAATGCATCTCAGCTGGTTATGCTTGTAAACAAAATGATTCATCAGGCAGAAAATGTTGCAGCAATATGTGTAAGCAAGCAAATAATCAAACAATGGGCGTATGTGGCAGTAAGTGTACTAACTAGCTAGTTAGCTAAAATATTTATAATAATTATCTAAATTTAAAAATATAAAATTTAAAAAAAATAATAATATTATAGCTTTTAATATTTCTAAACTATTATAACTAATGTAAAACGTTAGTTGAGTTTTACTAATATTTGACTCATTTGACGGACCAATAGATTTAAAAAAAAAAAACTAATTTTAATTTTTTTTTTATTAAAACATTTATTTTATTATTATTATTTTTTTTTTATAGATTTATGTATTCTAACTGGCTATCCCTGTAAATCTGATGGTTCAACTGGTAAATGTTGTAACAGATTTTGCTATCAAATAAAAGGCCAAACTATGGGCGTATGTGCCCCCAGTAAGTTAATATATATATATAATTATCTAGCTGAAATTTATATAATTAAATTAGGCAAAAAATTAGCTAGCCAATAACCACAAAAATCTAATAATAATATTTAAGAATTTATAATTAATTTAGCTTTTAATTTATCATAATAATAATAATATCATCATAATAATATAGATTTCAATATATAAATATTTATTATTATAAATTTAAAAAAAATAAATACATAAACCTAGACTAACTTAACTAAATTAACTAAACTTAAATATACTTTTTTTTTAATATAAAAAATAAGTATATTAATAAATTGAGCAGGTTTAAATATAAATATATATTATATTATTAATTAGTATTATTTTTTATATATTATTATTTATTATATTTTTTTTATATATTATTATTTATTATAATTTATTATTATAATATTTTTATATTATTATTATAGCTAAATGTATTAGCACTGGCCATAAATGTAAAAGTGATGGTTCAACCGGTACCTGTTGTAACAATTTTTGCTATCAGCCAACTGGCCAATCAACTGGTATATGTTCAATTAAGAAAACTTAATAAATGTATTTTTAATAATATAATAAAAATTAAATTTTGGTATTTTAAAAAAAATTTCAATATTTTCAAAAAGTAATCTAAAAAATTATTAAAAAAAAATTCTGAATTTTTAAATTTCAAAATTTAAATATTAATAATAATAATTGTTATGTTTTTTGTTTGTTTGTTTGTTATTGTTTTGTTATTGTTAAAAACTTTGTATTTAATTATGATAATGATAATAATAAAAAATTATTGCATTTATTATAATATTTAAATTAATATATGATTTATAAAAAAACAATAAACTATTTTTTACACTTACATTGTGTTTTAAAAACAATTAATTATTTTAGCTATGATTATAAAAGTGAAAAAAATAATATTTTACAAACATTTTTGTTAAGTTTTTATTGTTTTGTTTAAATAGATGTAACATTTAATTAATAGTTTTTTTTTAATTTAAAAAATATTTTTATAAAGTTTTGTTAAATAAATCTGTTTAATAATTTCAAAAAATTTCTACTAATATATTATATACTGTTATTATATTTAATATTGTTATAATTTTATATTTTATATATTTTAATTTTTAAAAATAATTTTTATAGTATACAAGTGATAATTAAACAGTATTTTAATTAATTTATTAGTTGTTTTTTAGTTATAAAATTAAATAAATATATTTATATATCTAATGTAAAATTAATTATTTAATATAATATTTATTTAATAATATTTTTTTAAAAATAAAAACTATAATATCATTATAAAAACAATTTCTAGTATAATATAAATTCACTTTAATTTAAGATTATTGAAATCAATTTGTTATTAAAAATTAAAAAAAATATTATAACTATAAAAAAAATTAAATAATAAATATATATATATATTGATAATTTAAAATACTATAAATACTATAATATTGACTATTTTTATAAAATAAAAAAATAATAGCCATAAACATAAATTAATTAAAAAAAAAAATTAGTTTTAATCTAATATAAATTAATTTTATTTTATGTAATAAAGTTTTTAAACTAATAAAATCAAAAAATAATAATTATTATTATTATTAGTTAGCAATTATTTTTTTACGATAACTGGAAAATTTAATTATAATTAATAAAAAACAATTATATTACAAAAAAAATTTTTAGCTGAAAATTTTTTTGTTTAAACACAAAATCATGTTATTTATTACTCAATTTTTATTATTATTTTAGTCTACATTTACTGTACTTTAAAAAAAATAAATCTAAAATCTTATATAAATATCTCCCACATTAATAAAAAAAATCATAATTAAAATCAATTAATTATTTTTATTAAGTAAAACAAATAATATTTTTAATAGTTTTATATAAAATTATTTTATTTTTTAGTTAGTCGACTAGTTTATTAATTTTAATTTAATTTTTTTAAAAAAAAACTAAAAATGAAACTAGATAATTATATTTTCATATTTTCAATACTAGCTATCAATTTAGCTAATTGTATGTATAATAATAATAGTTATTATTTTTTTTTTAATAATTAATTATATTTACAATTAAATTAATTATATTTACAATTAAATTAATTATATTTACAATTAAATTAATTAATTATTTTATTTTACTTAAAATACTTCTAAGGCGATGATCCCGAAGCCAATCAACTGGTCATACCTGGCGATAATGACCAATACTATCCGTTTAATTTTGCCCAACTATTGGTTGAAAACGGTTTCAACCGATTGGATCCAATACAGACACGTCTAGTGGATCTGATGGACAACAATGAACAGGTGTTCTTCCAGAGCACTGTTACCTTATGGGTTGACTATGATTTTGTTATCCGAGATGATATTACCGTATTGTTAGATGACTGGGACAGGAGTCTAGATTAGTATGTATACTGTGTTTGTATGTATGTGTTTGTATGTATGTGTGTTTGTATGTATGTGTGTTTGTATGTATGTGTGTTTGTATGTATGTGTGTTTGTATGTATGTGTTTGTATGTATGTGTGTTTGTATGTATGTGTGTTTGTATGTATGTGTGTTTGTATGTATGTGTTTGTATGTATGTATTGATACTTAAATTTTTTTAATTAATTAAATTATTAATTAAAAATTAAAAAAATATATAATACAGTTATAAGGTTAGACATAATAAGCATCATAAACATCACCATGACGACGACGACGATGATGATGATGATGATGATGATGATGATGATGATGACGATGATGATGACGATGGTAATTTTTTTAAAAAAAATTATAATAAATTATTAGTTTAAAATTTTATTTTCTAAAAAACTTTTAAAAAAAACTAAATTTATAAATGATTAAATATGTTTTTTTTGTATGTACAGTATATTATCACCACATATATACTAGTATATTAGTAGCTAACCTAACCCCCCCTCCCTCCCACTTATACTGGTACAATCAAACACCTACACCCATCCACCCACCCACCCACACACACACCCAAACACCTCCCATATCCTAAACATAATTTTTTGTTTTTGATATACATGTATGAAATTATTATTTTTTTAATTATTATTATTATTATTAACTATTATTTGATAGGTAAACGTAGAAAACGTGATGACGATGATGATAAAAAACATCATAAACACAAACATGATAAACACAAACATGACCATGATGATTTTGTCAATCGATTAACCAGGGTACAAACTAGATTGAGACAACTGCGCCTGTATATACAATTGACATTTGATCGGGTATTGGTTGGCCGCAATCGGCAACAAACTGGCCGTCCATCCGTTTACCAGCAACTGGGACTGGTTCAACTAACCGGCCAGTTTGCCCAAAGTTTGGCACCACTGGCCACCCGAGATACCGGTTCCCGACAACGTTACAGGCGTGCATTGAGCGGTATGTTTCAGACAATACAGGCGGCTATGAATTGGTCGTTGAGGCGTCGGCTACTGTCACTGGCCATACCCAATGATCAGTCAGGTACCTGGCCTATTGGTGGACAGCTACCTGGCCAGGTTACCATACCTGGACAGTACCAGTATTTGATTGACTATAGACAAGAGTGGAACCGACAGTTCAATCAGATTACAGTTGATTTATAATTAAATAATAATAATAATTAAATAATAATTAATAATAATTAATTAAAATTATTTATTATTAAAATTATTTATTATTATAATTATTATTATTTATAATAATTGTTATTATTTATAATAATTGTTATTATTTATAATAATTGTTATTATTTATAATAATTGTTATTATTTATAATAATTGTTATTATTTATAATAATTGTTATTATTTATAATAATTGTTATTATTTATAATTATAATTATTTTGATTTTTAATTATTATGTGATTGTTATGCAGTACTGTATTATTATTGTTTTATTTTAATTAAACAAATAAAATATTAATAGTTAATAGTAGACTTTTATAAATTATTATTATTATATCTATAGTACTTATTTGGATTAATACTAAAACTATAAAGATTATTTTTTGATAATAAGTAACATATATACAATAGTTAATAACTTAAAATAATATAAATTAATTTAATACTATTTTTAAATAGTATTTCAAACATTTAAATTTAACTAGTATATATTTTTATTAAGTTATATTTTAAATTAATAAATTATTTAAAATTTAATGTAAATTATTATAAATGTAAAAATGATTAGTTAACAAAAAAAAACAAAACAAAAAAACAATATTATAATTAATATTTTTATTTATTGTTTTTTACTAATCATTTATCTCAAGTATATTATTATTAACATATTGTTTATAAAAATTTTAAAAATTATTATTATTATAACTTTATTTACTAATGTTACTAAAACTACACTTAATAAACACAAAAATAATAATAGATAATACAAAATAAATACTAAATTGAAATAAATAATTAGTAAATATATTTTTTAAATATTAAAATAAAAATCTAAAACAAACAAACAACAAAATTATATTAAAAAAAACATAAATAATAAAATAGGTAAATTTAAAAATCAAAATAAAAATCAAATTAATTACTATTAACATTTTAAATCATTTAATAAATTCATAAAAAAAAATAATTAAAATAATAAGATTTAAAATCTCATTTTATTGTTGTTAATAATAATAATAATAATAATAATACAGAATAATTTTTATTTAGTTTATTTTTTTTATATAAATAACAAATTATATAAAAAAAAATATTATTTAAAATTTCATATTATTTTTGTTTTAGAATAATAATAATAATAATAATAAGAATACAGAATAACTTATATTTATTATTATAATAACTTTTTAAAAAAAATACAAAACATGGACATTAAAAAAAATTGTATTAATTTTTTATTATTATTTAATAATAATAATAATTTTTTAAAAAATAATTTTTTGTTAGCCATCATAGACGGCACAAAAGTGAAACGGTTCCGAATCATAGCAATGTTTTGAACAACAATTGCTAGCATTTCTAATCAAACAATAGGTGTTCAATGGAGCGCAATCTAAATCAAATTCAAAAATAAAATAAATAAAATTAACAAAATAACATCAAATCAAATGACAAAATAAAATTAAATTACAAAATTATAAATAAAATTACAAAATAATAATAATTACTATTAAATATAATATCTATATATATATATGAATATATTTTTAGATAAAACGATATATAAAATTTGTTGTATAAGATTATATAGATATTTTTTTTATTTAGTATTAATAATATAAATATAGTAAAAAAAATTTTTTAGTATTAACTAATTATATCAAAATATATATCAAAATATTATTTTAGAGTAAATGTGTAAATATCATTATATATGATAATTATATATAATTAACTGTATTTTTTTTTGTATCAATATGTTAAGAGATAAAAATAAATTTTAATAATATTATGGAAAAAATTAATAAAATTAGCATTAAAATTAACAGTATATATTTCTAAATTTTAGTTATTTATTTTTTTCCCAATAATATTATTAAATTTTATTTAAGTTTACTTTTGGATAACATAGTATAATCTATAAATAAACTTAAATAAATTAATATCATATTAATAAATAATAATAATAAACAATTATTATTATTATTACTATAACTTTATTTATTGGTATATAAATTATTTTTTAATCCTATTGATAAAAAATGCAGTTAATTAAAAATAATTATTTATACTTAAATAATTGTGTATTATAAATTTTGTTGTTTACTATATTTCTATTATTAATACTAAATAAAAATATTTATATAATTAAAAAAATAAATCAAAAATAAATTTTATTTTACTAGTATTATCATTATTATTGTTGTTGTTGTCAAACGGCAAACTAAATACAATGGCAATAGCAATGCCTAAAAACAATAAAACTAATGTAGCTAGTTGAGTTTTCATAATAATTATAAACCATAAATTAATTAATTAAATATTAATTAGTATATATATAAACAGTTTATTTTCAAAATAATAATTAAACTAAAAAAATTATTATTTAACTATTTATATAATAAATATAATTTTTTTTTGTATAACTTAAAGCGCATGTTTAATAATAATAATATTAATATTAATACTAATAATAATGTTTTAATTAAAAATAATAATTATTTATTACAAAACAGTTAATGTATATTATATGTAATAATGACATTAGTTTTATTTAATTAATTTTCAATTGAAATAATATTTTTTTCAAATTATTTCAAATAATCAATATATTGCTTAACAAATATGTATTGCATTTTATATTTTTTAAGTAATAATATATTGTTTACATTAACTAAACATCATATATTGCATGCAATAATTAATATTTAAATATGAATATTAAAAAAAGTTAAAATAAAATCAAAATTTTTAATTTTTAAATAATTAAAACTATTTATCTATAATACTATGTTATTAATTTATTTTTTTTAATTATCAATAGTTTCTTATAATTAACATTTACTTTAATTTCTATAAAATTATTTTTAAATTTTTTATAAATTTTATTTTTTTTTATTATTTATTTGTACTTTAACTTATTAAACATTAATTTTGTATTTAGTTATTGATATTTTAGCAAAATCATTGTATTATTGAATTAAACATTATATATTTTTTGTTATAATTAAAATTGTTTTTATTTATTTATTTATTTTTTGTTAAATCATTTACCTTGATTAGATATAATATAAAAAATCAATTTTATTATTACAAAAAAAACATATTTTTTTGTATAACAATATAATATTGTTTTTGTTATAATTTATTTCAATAACAAAAAAATCTATTATTATAAAAAAATCCTAACTAACAAACATTATGTCTAATATTATTAAAACAAATAATCAATTAATTTTACTATTAATTACTATTAATGTATTAATTATTATTAATAATAATTTATTGACTGTACAAGGTAAGTTTTAGATTAATAAAAAAAAGTTATTATTGTTAGTATTTATATTAATTATATTTATTTTTTAAAATTAAATATAAAGCTTGTATTAATATTGGTGGTACATGTGGTTTGGTTGGTTTTGATTGTTGTCGGGGATACTGCCAGAAACCTCCCGGTGCTTCAATATATAATCTGGGAAAATGTCAAAATTATATAATACAAGGAATAACTAATTAATTAATTAATTAATTAATTAGTTTGAATATCCAATTAGAATATTAGGTAAAAATTTATAATCAAAAAAAAATTTGGATTATTTAGTTTTTTCAACTATTTAGAAAATTTAGAAATTAATTAATTAAAACAAAAATACAATAATAATTAATCCATAAAAATAGTATTTATAAATTTGTTTTATTTTATTTTTTTTATATAATATACAAATTTTTTATTTAATAATTATAATGATTTTTGCTTAAAAATGTTTGTTTTATTATTAATTACTAATTAGATTTTTTAAAAAATGTTAGTTAATTGTTAATTACATAATGAAAACATTAAATACTTTAGCATAAGTTATTAATTATTATGAAACAAAATATATATATATGTTTAATATATTTTTTTATTAATTATTATTAATTAAATTAATTTTATATTATATTTTAGTTTTTTTATTATTGTTGTAAATTGCTATTTTATTTATTAGTTAATTTTGTTTTTAGTATTTAGCAAAATCATTTTTTATTTTGTATTATCAAACGTAAACTAATTAATTAATTTAGTTTTTATTACGTTAACTTTTTTTTGTAATTAAAATAATATGAAATAAAATATTTGCTTTATTAGTACAATAATTTAGTTATTTGTTATTTTATTAATTACTAAAATTAAATATAAATAAAAAATTAAACAAAATTTTAGTTTAGCTAGTTGAAAATATAATAATTTATAACTTAATTAATAAAATACATAAAAATATTCATGTATGTTTTATACATAAATAATTTTATAACTAATTAAAATATAAATGTGTAAATATTTTTTTAAAAAATTAAAAACCGCATGTATAATAATAATAATATATCAATTTTAAAAATATATTTATCGGTAAAATTACTTAGAATAATGATTTTTAAAAATAAAATAAAGTTTTAAAATTTCATTTGAAATTATAATATTTACAAAATCATTGATTATTAGAAATATCAATAATTTATTACAAATAACATAATTATATTATTTATTTAATATTTAGTTTATAATATTTTTATTTAGTTTGTTATTAAAAAAATTATTATTAAAAAATTTAGTTATTAAAAATATTAAACAATAATTATTATCAATGTTTTAGTTGAATATTATATATAATATTAAACTTTTAGTTGTACTTAAAATTAAAAAAAATAAATATTACTCTATAGATGTCTATATAAAATATAAGATATTAAATATTTTTAAAAAAAATTAAATTAATTTAATTGAGATTATTATTAAATAAAAAAAGTTTATATTAGTTTTATTAATTATTAATATAGTATATATATAAAAAAATTTATTTAGTTTAAAAATAAATAAATATGATATGATATTAATGTCTTAATAGTCTTAATAATAACAATTTAATTTTTATTTCAAAATTAATTATATAAATTATGAAATATTTTTTTTGACTAATTATACAATTAATTAATTAATTTATAATTGGCATAATCATATTTTGAGTTAGAAATAATTTATCAAACAATGATAACTTAATAGTTGATTTGCCTGGATCAATTGATGATAAACTAGCAACACATGTATAGACCATTGGTGATGACCACCATGATATAGGAGGAGCACCTGTAGCTAATTGGCACTGTCCTCCCTGGCAACATAATCCCATACCAGTTCCACCAATACATTGACCATTAATTGGTATACAGTCTAGAAATAAAATAATATTAATTAATTAAATTTAATTAATATAATAATAAACATTTTATTTAGTTTTTTTTGTTGAATTAATTGTTTTCTATTAAAAATTAATTATAAGTATTAATAAATAATAAATATTAATTAATTTTTTTTAAAAAAATATTATTTACCTTGCTTATTAATATCACAATGCATAGAAATAGGCATGCTAATAATAATTATTAATAATATTAAAGTTATAATTTTTATCATATTAATTAATTAGTTAAAATATATTATTATTTATTTAATAGAGTATATAATTATTAAATTTAAATAAAAAATTAACTATCAAATAGTTTTTTCTATTTTATACTTAATATAATAATAATAATAATAAAAGTTTAAATCTACTGTTTATAATACTGTATTTTTTAAAAAAAAACTATTATTTATATATTTTTTAAAATTAAGTAAATTAATCAATAACAAATTTTTTTTAAATATTCATAATAAAGTTGTTAAAATTATAATTTTGCAAAATCATTATAAACTAATACAATATCAATAATAAAAAATATTTTTTTTTTTAAAATACAAACATATTGTATTATATTTATTTATTTTTTATGTAAAATCATTTTTACACTTTTTTTATATTAAAAAAAACAAAAAACAAATAAATTTTTATTTAAATTTGTTTAAAACAATTATAATTAATATCTTATTATTATTATTATTATAGTAGTAGTAAAACAATACATTATTATCAATAAAAACTAAAAAAAACAATTTTTATTATAGAAATTATTAATTTAGAAATTTATAATTTTTTTATTAATTATAAATATTATATACTATATATGTTTATAATAATAATAATGAGCACCGGTATGTTTTTGGGCTATCAGTGCTTATTTTGTTGTTGTTGTTGTTGTTTTAGTTAAGATAAGGACATATCGATACAGTTGGCCGTCGATAACAGAAACCATAGCAACAATTAATACCCGAACCGCATACCTGGCCAGGTTGTATACAATCTATAATAATAATAATAATTTAAAAAAAATAATTAATTATAATTATAATTTAAAAAAAACTATAAATTTTAATACCTTTTTTAGCTAGTATACTATGAAACTGTATAATAATTAAAATACCAACAACAACAACAACAATAAATATGTTTGTTGTTAATTTAGCTAGTTGATTTAATTGAAGCATGTTAATTATTAAGCTAGTTACAAATGTTTTAATAAATATATAACTAAAGTTAAAAAGTTAATATACAGTATATAAATATGTACAAGGTCATCTATAGTATTATTTTTTTGTATTAAATTAGTTATAAATTATACAGTATATATACAAAAAATAAATTGCTTAATCATGACTATAAATTAAAATTAAATTATTATTATTATATTTTATATTAAAAAACTATATTTACTAATATAATCAAATAAATGTTTTTTTTTTGACTAAATATTTAATAAAATAATTTTTATTTTGTAATAAATATACAAAAAAAACTCATTAATTAATTAATTTTATTTATATTAAATATTGATATAGTTTTTAGTAATTTGATTACCTTTAATTTTTTTTTAAAAGTTTTATCACATAATATAAAAATTTAAATAGTTAGTTAAATTTACCTAGTACTAATATTTATTGAATGATACTGTATAATAATTGTATAATTATTATTATTATAAATATTTATAAATTAACTATTATTAATACTATACAATCATATAAAAGTAATGATAATATATGATAATAAAACTAAAATTACAAAAAATAATAAATTATTAAAAATATAAATATATATAATAAAAAAAAATTAAACTAAAATTTATAAATTAATTAATTAAATAATTAATTTAGTATGTAATATAATTTCTAAAACTAAATTTTACAAAATCAAAATTTTTCTATAAATTATTTAAGTTTTATTATAATTACAAAACAAACTGTAACTGATTAATTGTTTTAATTAGTTAAGATATATTTGTAAATAATTTTATTAATTTTAATTAGTTAATTAAAGTTTGCATTTATTATATAGTAATTATTTTATTGAATAACTTTTATTTTATCTATCGATTAATTAGTTATAATTTTTATTTAATACTTACTTGCTATTGACTAATGATTGATATTATAATAATTATAAAAATATTTTTTTTAATTAATGATAAATAAAATAAAAATTTTAGCTAAAATTAATACATAAAAACAAATATCTAATAATATAAATTGTTTCACATTTAAAAAATAAATATTTTTATATTAAATAATTAATTTTTTATATAACTTTTATACAAAAATAAAACAAACTGTAATTAATTTATTAATTTTATTTAGCATAGCTATAGATAACTTAATAACTAAAAAATATAAAAGTGCTTCAAAAATAAATTATAGATATTTTTTACACATATATATATATATTAATTAATTAATTAGTTAGTTAGTTAAAACTTTACCTAGTTACTACTAAGTTTTAACTGAGTTTTATAATAATAATAATAATTATTATTATTATCTATAAATTAAAAGTAATATAACTTAAGTTATTAACAGAATTTTAATATATCAAATTAAATAATACATATTTTTATATATAATTAAAATTATAATTAATTAACTAAAATTAAAGTATAATGTAATTTATTAAATTGTTATTTAACTACAAACAAACAAAAACAAGCAATATAAATTAAATAAATAAATTTTTACAATGTTATTAGTATACTTTAATAATTATATTCAAAAAAATTAATTTAGTTAAATATAAGTTATTTTTATTCAAGGTTAATTATTTATTTATTTTTGTATATTAGTTGTTATATCGTGTATATAATACTATTAATAATTGTTTGTTTATATTAAACATTGTGTGCAAATAAATTAATTTAGTTTTTTATTTAAAAAATAAAACTAAAAATCTAAAAAAAAAACATGCCACTAAATTTTGAAAAAATATAATTAATTTTTATACTCATATAATTGACTCTACACTGTATATTAAAGTTACATATATATAAAAAAGTTGAATATAAATTTGTATAAGGTAATTTATTAATAAATTAAATAAATTATATTTAATATAAGTTAACTATATATATATATATATATATATAATTCAATAACACTTGACAACACAGTTATTGACATTATTTTTGAAATAAAATTAATAATTTTTAGATTAGATTACGTGTATAAATACAACAACATATTTCAATAAATTTTTTTACTACTACTACTACTACTACTACTACTACTAATAATAATAATAATAATAATAATAACGTTTAATTAATAACTAATAATAATATTTTTAAAACATTAAAAAAATTGTGACAAAAATTTTTATTTTATAAAAAAAACAATAAGTTCATAATTTACTAATAATTTTATTTTTTTTTTAAAATATTTTATTTACTATAAATTTAATTTGATAAATGTAGATGTGCTAAATGTTATTATTATACATTGGACCCTGTTAAATTAATACTTCTATAAGCTATTGTTGATAAGATTAATTAAACCATATAGAGCTAAAAACATATTATTTATTTATTTTTTAAAAAAATATATATAAAATATCGATAAATGTACTTGTTATTAATTTTTATATTATAAAAAATAATAATAATAATAATAAACAAGTTTCAGTATTATTATTATTATTTGTTGTTATTATTATTGTTATATGTTTTTAATTTTATTACATTTATTGTTTTTAAAAATTAAATTATTAATTTGCAAATAATATGCAGTTTTATAATTATCATCAGTGTAAATTATCTATAAATATTATTAATATTATTATTATCAGCATAATAAAATTATTTATAGTAATAATAATAATTATTTTTAATTATTTAATTATAATAATAATATTATAATAATAATTATTTTTAATTATTTTATTAATCATTTAAAATTTTAATAACAAAATAAAAATTAATTTCTAAATAAATTATTTTAATATTTTTTTATTTTAATTTTTTAATTATAATAATATATATTTCACTATTAGATTACTGATGGACTAAAACAACGGGAGTTTCGCATAGACTACCCGAACGACCAGTTCCTCAAAGATGGCCAACCGTTTCGCTATGTTAGCGGTTCGCTACACTATTTTCGGGTACCGTCGGTATTGTGGACGGATAGGTTGGCCAAAGCTCGGTTGGCCGGTCTGAATGCCATTCAAACGTATGTAGTTTAGTAGTAGTAGTAGTAGTAGTAGTGAATATACCTAAAAAAATTGGTGGTTTTATCCTTATGAGAGCACAGGTATGTCGAATGGAGTTCACACGAACCGGAAGAGGGTGTCTATGATTTTGAGGGCGACAACGATTTGTTAGGTTTCATCAGACTGGCCAACCAATCGGGTCTATTGGTTATACTGAGAACCGGTCCGTTTATTGATGCGGAACGGGATATGGTATGTGTATGTGTATGTGTATGCGTATGTGTATGTGTATGTGTATGTGTATGTGTATGTGTATGTGTATGTGTATGTGTATGTGTATGTGTATGTGTATGTGTATGTGTATGTGTATGTGTATGTGTATGTGTATGTGTATGTGTATGTGTATGTGTATGTGTATGTGTATGTGTATGTGTATGTGTATGTGTATGTGTATGTGTATGTGTATGTGTATGTGTATGTGTATGTGTATGTGTATGTGTATGTGTTTATTGATGTTTATTGATGTTTATTGATTTTGTTGATGAGCTCAGGGAGGTCTACCCTACTGGCTATTGGCCCAGAATCCTAAAATGGGTTTACGTTCATCGGAACCGTCATATTTGGCAGCTATTGACAAATGGTATGGCCTATTGCTACCGAAACTTCGGCCATTGCTCTACCGAAACGGTGGTCCCCTAATAATGGTTCAGATAGAAAACGAGTACGGTAGCTACCCGAGCTGTGACTATAGCTACCTGAATCATCTGAGACAACTACACCACAAATACCTGGCCTCGGATACAGAAGTTGTCTACTTTACAACCGACGGTGCCGGTGATGGTTATCTTAAGTGCGGCAAAATGGACGGCATATTCGCTACGGTTGACTTTGGTGTCGGTACTGACGCGTCCGAGGCTTTCCAGACACAGCACCGACACCAGGAAATGGGTCCCAATGTTAACAGTGAATACTATACGGGTTGGTTAGATCATTGGGAACATCCGCACGAAACAGTGGCCACTGGTCAGGTTGTCGACGGTTTAGATAAAATGTTGGCATTGAATGCATCAGTAAATCTGTTAGTATAGAGATGACTGTCCTTTTGATTGATAATTGATTGATTGATTATTATCTATGAGGACAGTTATATGTTTCATGGTGGTACCAGTTTCGGGTTTAGGTCGGGTTCAAATGTTGGCCAAACGTTTGACGTATGTCCTACTAGTTATGATTATGATTCACCATTGGATGAATCGGGTGATCCAACAGATAAGTACTATGCTATACGTGAGACCATCAAAAAGGTATGTCCTCTACTAGTATACTGTATATCACACTTTTATATATGCATTTTGTTTTGTTATACTATAGTATTTGCCACTACCTAACGGTACAGTACCCCAGCCCAGACCAAAAATGCAATTACCACCGATCCAGATGCTACCTGTGCTCAACATGTATGACCTACTGGCTAATCAAACAGCACCTGTCCGATCGGATTATCCGCAATCATTTGAACAGTTACGCCAAAGTCACGGGTTTGTACTGTACTCGACAACCATCAACCAATGTCGACCATCAGATCCGGCTGTACTAACCATCAATGGTTTGGCCGACAGGGCTCATGTATTTGTCGATAAGGTATATGTCATATATACTCTATTGATGTATATGTATGTTAATTATGTTTGTTTAGCGATACGCGGGAACCGTTAGCCGTACACAAAAACTGTATGAACTGGGTTTGGACATTGAATATGGCCAACAATTGGATATACTGGTTGAAAATCAGGGACGACCATGTTATGGGAACGACATCAAGGAGCTAAAGGTATTTATTAAAAAAAAATTAAAAATAAAATTATTATTTTATTTTTTTTATTTATTAGAAATTAATTATTTAATATATTGTTTTTAGTATATACTGTATAAGTAATTAGTATTAATGTATAATAGATTAGTTAAATAAAAATTTTTTTAATTTAATTTTTAAATAGTTTTTTAATAATAAATAAAATGATTAAATTAATTAATTAATTAATTAATTAATTAATTAAGCTAGCTAAAATCTATTTTAAAAAAAATCTATTAATAAATTAAATTTAATTGAATAATTTTTTTTTTGGTTAAAATTATCAAAAAACTTATACATAACTAAAAAAATATTATTTAATAATTAAATTTTTTTTGTATACATTTAATTACATACTAATTATATAGTAGTTAAACAATAATTAATAAATATATATATAATAATCTAATAATTGCTCATAAAAATTGTATTAAAAAAATAATAATAATTAAATTTTATTTTTATTTTTAAATTATTTATACATATAGGGCATCATCGGTAACGTAACACTGGGACCGGTAGTATTGACTGATTGGCTACACTATCTATTGTTTAGAAATTGGTCCGAAATTGTCGATATAGTTGAAAATCATGGCACAGATACTGTACCGGCACCTATACATAGACTACCGGCATTTTTTACTAGTAAATTTCAATTACCGGCCAACACCACCCGTGGCCAACCATTGGACACTTTTCTACGGCTATCGTCTACAGAGGGCTGGCATAAAGGCCAGGCATTTCTAAACGGTTTCAATTTGGGCCGATATTGGCCATCGGTTGGTCCACAATTAACATTGTATACACCCAGACACCTGTTCCGACCCTATCCCCAGTTAAACCGATTGACACTATGGGAGTTGGAGTGGTCACTACCGACTACCCGGTCATCATCATCAATGACCGTACAGTTTGTTAGCTCCAGGATATTGAACGGTACGACACCGTATGCCAGCTATACTACTACTAATAATAATAATAATAAACCATATGATAAATATAATAATAATTTAATTAATTAATTTAATAAAATAAAATAAAATGCATTTAAATTTGACAATAATTGATAATTTTTTTTTTATTTTAATTTATTTTATTATTAGTTTATAAATTAATTAAATAGCATTAATTATAAAAATTAAATCTATTATATAATTAAATATATTAAAATTAAATATAAAATATAATTAAATATATTTTATTTTATCTAGTTGCTATTATTTTTAAACTAGCAGTCTTTATAGTTGTCTATAATAGTTAATAATTTACTTAAAATTACTACAAATAATATTATAGTTATATATTTAATTACAGTTTGTATTTTATTATAAGTAATTTTATTTATATTTATTTTATAATATTTAGATAGATTTATAAATTATATAAAAGTTACAAATAATTATATTCAATAATATAAAAGCTTAATATTAGTAATTCAATTGAAATTCAATTTGAAATATTTTATTGATAAACAAATAAAACAATAATTATAACTAATTTTATCAATAATAGATATAATAGCAAATAAATTGTTTAATAATTATTATTAGTTAAAAAAAATGATTTTTATATAAAATATTTTAATAAAATAACTATTGCTTAACTTCTAATAAATAATTATTAGCAATTAACTAATTAATAATCAATAATAACGTAATCAAAAAATAATTAATAATTATTATTTATTTATCCAAATTAAAAATCTATGTGCAATATGTATAAATTAATAATTATATAATATAAAGCTATATAGAATAATAAAAAAATATAATAAAATAAAATAAAATATAGTATTAAATATTTTCAACAAAAAACAACAAAAATATTTATATAATATCTCTAAAACTATGTATTACTTAACATACAATGATTTTGCAAATAAAAAAAATAAGTAAATAAATCAATTAATAAATTAAAATATCAAAAAAAAATTTTTAGTTATATCATTGATTGTGAAATTGATTGTTTCAAACAAACAAAAAGTATTTAAACTTTTAGATTTAGATAATTAAAAATAAAATAATCAGTTGAATAATTTGTATTTTTTCAATTAATAATTAGTTTTTTTTTTATTTTTTTTTTAAATTAAAATATCAATAATATAATTATCATGGTAAAAAATCAACTACTTATGGTCCGTTTAATTAGTTTTATTGCAATTATTATTTGTATACAATTTCATTATACTCTACAACAAAGTACAGTATTTTTTTATTAAAAAAAAAATTAATATAAATTAAAAATGAAATTATTATTATTAATTTTTTTTTTAAATTTTTATTTATTTTTAATAATTATTTATTTTTTTATTTATTTAGGATGTCTACCAGCTAATGCACCTTGCGGTTATGATGGATCACCGTTATGTTGTCGTGGATTTTGTGCAGATACCTGTCCAAATTTTGGTTAGACCATCAACATAAATAATATATATATATATATATATATATATAATTATAATAAATTAAAATTATATAATTATTATAACAGATTAACTTAATAAATTACTTAATAAAAACTAATAGTATATTTTTAAAAAAAATACAGTAAACATATTTTTTTTGTTGAATAGTTTATTATTAATTAATTAATAAAATTATAATTTTTTTTTTGATTTAAATCTAAATCTAATTATTTAGTACTGTATTTAATATATATATTAATTAATATTTGATTAATTGATAAAAACTAATTTAAATGAACAAAACAAATATAATTTTATAATTTGTTATTATAATTATAAAATTTCTAATAAAAAACATACATTAAATAAAAATAGCAAACAAACTGTACTAAAATTTTGTCTAATGTTTTCAAAAAATATATATAAATTTTTTATTTATTTTATCAAAATTAAAAATATCAAAATAATTTTATAAAGTTTATAGAGTATATTAAATGTTTTTTTTTTAATAATTATTTTCTCAAAAATAAAAGTTTTAATTATTTTTTATTTAAAATATAGTAATCAAATAGTGATATATTTTTTTATAAACAAATTCAATCATAAAGTATAGACTGTATGTCCTGAATATGTTGGTTCCAATAGCGCCGGAATTGTTGCAAATAAGCGGGTATTGGACCTCCCGGTGCCTCCAACCGGGACTCCAGATGCTTATCCAATGCCCAGTTCATAGCCGTACCCCAATTGCCTATAAACTCGGCCATTGTGGGCGCAAAATCGGGTTCCCATGGCTCCTGAATATCGGGTCCTATATTATCGGAAGCCGACTGTAATAATCGGGTCAATTGGGTCGCCGGATATATGGGCGGCGATTGCCGAACACGTCCGCCGATTATCGGATCAAATTCCCGTTTGATTTCCGTGGCCAACGATTCCAGCCGTTGTTGGACAGCCCGCAGCTGTCGACTCAGTGTACCGTTACTTTGACCACCGACGGCCGTATGCCGGGGAAAGTCTAAACTCAGTGACCAGTCCCCGATCATTGCGGTAATATCGTCTCTAATGGCAAAATCAAAGTCACCGCCGCCTACCGGTGCCGCCAATGTGGTGGACAAGTGGGCTGTTTGCCGGAACAGTAGCTCCAATTGGTCGGCCATTGTGTCCAATATGTTAGCCTTGTCGGGGTTGTCCATTACAAAGTCCAGGCCATGCAATCGCATAATGCCGTCAAAGTTGAACGGATAGTAATCATTGTTGTTGTTGTTGTTGGAGCTACCGGTGCTCAGTTTACCTGTATGTGTGGGGGTAGAGGGGGTTTGGGATTTTTAGGTAGAAATGGTTAGTAAATTATATGGTATTTAAATATTTTTTTTTTGCATTAAACTTACATTGAGTACAATTAGTAGTTGTTGTAAAAGTTATTATTATTATTATTATTGTAATTAAAATTTTAAACATTTTAAAAAAAAATATTGATATATAAATAATAATAATAATGTTTAGTAAAATTATGTATATTTTTTTTTAATTATAATGTTTAAAAAATACTAAAAAAATATTTATAATGTAGTGTATAAAAATAATAATAATAATAATAATTTAGTTAATAAATATTTAGTTTAATTAAACAAATAATTGTATAAACTTTTTATTATTATTAACAGTTATTATTTTTTAAATAACACAAAATTATATCCACAACAAAAATTAAAATAAATAATACAATTAATTTTATAAATATTTTATATAAATTATAAACTATTTACTTAAATAAATCAATTAATTGAAAATCATTGAACCTAGATCAATTATTTATCATTATTTATTTTCTTAAGATATAACTATTGTGACTATTTATTTATTTATTGTTTATCTATTATTTAATTAATTAATATTATTATTATAGTAAAAATAAATAAAATTAAGATATTTAATATATAACTATTTAAACAAACCAATAGATAAACTAATATATATCAATATATTGTTATACTGTATTTAGAAATATATAAATAAAAATATATTATTTACTAATAATTATAAAATTTTTGTTAATAAGTTTTATCTAATAAAAACATAAATATTTGTTTGTTTTTATTTATTTCTATAATAATCTTATATATGATAAATATACTATCGATATATAAGTTAAAAACATTTTATAGATAATTATATTTTCAATAAAAAAGTTTTTATTTTTATAATTTATTCAATTAATTAATTGCAAAAATACAAAAAAATAACTAAAAAAAATATTGCTATTAATTTAATATACTTTCCATAAAATACTACACATATAACTAAACATGTAATATATATTTTTTATATTTTAGTATTTTCATAATTTTTATAAATAATTAACTAATAAATAAACATTTTATTCAAATAACAAAATAAACACAATTTTTTTTGTTGATTAATATAATTCAGTCAATAGTTTCTTAAAAAAAATATTAATATTTTTTTTTAGATATTATTGTTAGGTTCGGTAGTCGTTTCAATAGGTATTTCCTCAGTAGTAGTAGTAGTGATGACCACTGGTGTAGTTGGTGTGTCTGTACCATCACTACTGGTGCTACCGGTGCTGGTAGTGGTGATAGTTATCGGCTCAGTTGTCTGCACAGAGGATGGTTGGGTTGAATTAATAGTCGTACCATTGATGGTACTACCAGTTGGTACGGGTGTTACCACCGATGATGATTGGGTTGAATTAGTCGGCACAGGTGTCAAACTGGTAGGTCCTATATATTCAAACAATACAGTATAGAAATGTTAGTATTATTTTTTGTTTGTTTGATTAGTATATATATATATATATAATTAGATTTAGATTGTTTTTTTTTATACAAAACTCATGTAATTTTCATGATTTTATTTTAAAATAAATAATTGTAATTTAAAATTTAAAATTTAAATATTTATGAAAAAAAATTCTCAATATATGTTATAATCGACAACAAATGAAAAAAAAATATTTGTATTTTAAAATAAATAAATAAAATTACGTATAGGTTAGATTAATATTTAAAAACTAAATTATAGCTAAAATATATTCAAAACTTTTTATTAATAAAAAATAATAATTATATTAATTATATTAATATTAATATAATTGATATAATTATTATGTTTATTTTTAAAAAAATAAATATATAAAATATTGTATATATGTACTGTATTTAATTTTATTGACTGATTTAGTACACTAATAAATCAATATTACTGTATTTATAATATATATATATATATATATATATATATATATAAATCTATACATTTATTTCTATAAAAATATTTATATTAATATTTATAATTATATTTATATTAATAGTATTATATGTAATATAACTAAAAAATAAAATAAGTGCAAATAAGTTATTAAATTAACTAACAAAATAAATATGTAAATATTAATTGATTTGTTAGAGAAAATATATTTAGTTTATAAACTAAAATAACAAATAATAACAAATAATAACCGTTTCTAACAACAAAAAGCAAAATTTAATTATTTTATGTAAATATTTAATAAATAATTCAATTTATGAGTACTTTATCAAAGCATTATCATAACAAACTTCTAATAAAAAACATATATTATTGATTTATAATATATATATACCGGTATATATATATATATATATTA